ATAATTCCTAACTTTTTTCCTTCAGAATACATTTATCCATTTCCCTATTTCTTTAAATCTCTGCAGTTTCAAGTTATTTCTAACACAATCTTTGAATTGGTTTATTGGAAGAAGGATTGGAAAAAGGTTGGGATCGTAATTTCAATCAATTTACCAAGCACTTTACACTTGACATTTCAGGTGGAGGTGTTAAAAAGAACAGCTTTTTTTTATTCAAATGTTGCTTTTTCAGCTGTCTGAATTTTAATTTGCAATAACGCGTAATGCTATCCCCCTGATAAAATTTGTTTTTAATACATCCTGCTCGAAATGGTTTTTAGTTTAATGTTATAATGCCAATATTTTCATGCTATCAGTATATTAAATTTAATTTCAATTCTGAAAACGATACATATCTCAGAAATAAAACTCTTACTTTTGACAATTCCGCAATCCTTGAGCAGTATTTCGTTAATTTTGAGAATCATTTCGTCAATAAATCACGTGACTTGTGACGAAATGCGAACTTTTAAATATATGAATATTCTGTCTCCTCCACTTTAAACCTCATCGTAGTGCATTGTGGGGGATAGTTAACTAGAATGACGACTACGCAATAAAAAATAAAGTGACAAATTAAGCCAAACACATGTATGGTGGTCAAGGACTAGGCCTCGTAGCAGGATGATCCGGGATTTGAATCCCGATTTAAGCATCCGATTAAGTTATCTTCTATTCGTCCTTATTGTGTTGTGCCACCTATATGGTGCCCTTGTTGAAGTAGTTATTGGAAAAGTTTGATATATTGGGATTCAAATCTTTTTCTTCTTTTTTTTTAAAAAAAATTTAATTATGAAAGATTTAATTTTGATGAAATTCGTTTCTTCGAAAAAGTGACGATAGGTATTTTGTCACTTTGACGAAATTTTTGCTCTGAGCATATACCGGGAAGAGCTTTCGTCAAAAGCGAAGAAATAATCGCGATATTTGAGCATGCATTTTTTACTATAGAAACGTACGCGGTAAAAGCAAACATTCATTAATTTCTGGAAAAAATATTCTTAATTTTAATTTTAGCTATTGTTTTTTAAATCAAAGCTCAAAAGCAAGATTATGATTTTAACTACTCAATGAATCTTGTCTTCCATCAAAAATAAGCTTAAATCATCGTAAAAAAAGTCCTTAAAGCAATCGAATTAGTTTTTCAGTGATCAGATGTTTTCAAACAATATTTTTTTATTCAACGACGCAAGTCCGTCGTAATAAAATTCTTTTTGTCAAACACAAGAACAACGCTCAAATTCAATTTCTGTATGAGAAACTTACTGCCAAATCTCTTCTTTTAATACACATTGTAGATGTCACTACCGCAGCCTGCTTTGCATGAATGCGCTGATAAGCTAATCATTTGCATGCCACAACATGCTTTATCCGTCCTACAAATTTCACTTTCATGGTAGTGTAGTGTAGTAAGTGTAGTAAGGCGTGTATTTTTTATTTTTTAGATATAATTTTTATTAATTCTTGATAATTGATGTTGTTCATAAGAAAACAAGCATAAAAGAGGCAGTGCAGCGTCGTTTCAAGAGTTGGCAGTGTTGATATACGTTCCAGCTGGGAGCTTGGCATCCATTAGGCGTGCACTTAGATGCAAACTGGTTCTCTCCATAGAGATAATGGTTTTTTCTTAACTTGCAACAGAGTATAGAAGGGATTTCTTTTTAATTCCATTTTTTAAAGAAAAATATCGTCGACATTTTGAATTGCAAAATGAGTAATACTACTTCCAAGACAATTTTTTTTCCATACGACCTGCTCGAAATGATTTAGAATAATGTTATAATGCCTATGATTACTTTCTCCGTGTTTCAAACTATGAGTGTATCAGTAACAGTGTATTTTAATTCGGTAAACGGTACGCGGTAAAGGCAAGCAAACACTATTTTTTTCCATTTATGGATTAAAATCTTTAAAGTAATTTTTATTTCCAGAACTAATAGTTTTAATTTTACCTTTAGTTATTGTTTTTAAAATCAAAATTAAAATAAGATTATGATATTAACTACTCAAGGAATCGTGTTTTTACGCTGAGTTCTTCCATCAAAAATAAACCTAAATCACCGTAAAAGAAAATTCTTTCGCTCGGAGCAATCAGATTAGTTTTTCAATGATCAGATGCTTTCAAACAATATTTTTTTTTTTTTACTCAACGACGCAAGTCCGTCGTAAATTTAATCCTTTTTGTCAAACACAGAGTTTTTACAGGTATCTTAAAGCATTTTTTTTTCAGCTCTTTATTTTTTAAGCTTTTCTAAAAATAATTCCCAACGTTTCTCCACAGAATATATTTCTCCAGTTCTCTATTTTTCTTGAAACTTTGCAGTTTCTATTTATTCCCAAGACTCTCTTTGAATTGATTTGTTCGAAGACGGATTGGGAAAAGGTTGGGGATCGTAATTTCGGTAAGTTTCCCAAGCACTTTACACCACACATTTCAGGTGAAGGTGTAAGGAGAGTTTTTTGGACTTTCTCGAAAGGAGTTTCTTTCGAAAGTGCATTCTGAATTGATCTCAAATCTTGTTAAATTATTTTTGTCGACAAAATCTCTAGGGGGATTGATAAAAAAAATTGTTTCTATTTTCACTTTTAGATTTTTTTTCTTTCGTGTGGCCAGGCTTTCGAAGAAACCTGGAAAAATCCAATAAATATGCATTCAACAAAGAAAAAATAACAGAATACTATCTTTCGTTTTCTTTAAAAATATTTTTGAATGAATAATCAATAAGATATTTGTATTTGATCGAAGTTTTGTGCGTTTTTATGACGGGAAACTATGATTTTAGCAGTTTATATTTTTAAATTGTTGTTTTATACAACAATATATAATAAGGAAATTTCTCGCACGTAAAATAGAATTTTGGAATAACGTGAACTGTTGAAAGTTTCAATTTGTTCGAACTATAATAATTCTTCCATTTTTTTCTCCTTTATATGGTAATATTTTTGTTTGGTAAGCTTCGGTTAGGAAAGCTTTATTTTCTTTCATTTTAGTCTTATTATTAACGAAATGCATTTTTGGTTTGAACTAACCTTTACATTTTAAAAGATCATTATTCACTATAATTTAGAAAACTCTGAACATCATGGTTGAGCATAATCTTTTTTTTCCTACTGCAGAAGAAAAATGTGAGAAAAATTAACTTAAGGAGCTTATTTTGAATTAGACACAACTATCTTCAGCTGGATAAACACTGCGAGTTAGAGATGTGACGTGACACTTTTTGAGCTTGATGGGGCACTTCATACATATTATTTATTGACATAACCTTAAAATAGTTGTTTTTTGACTTGTGTCAATTTTCTTGCGATATATATATAAATATACAAAATGAAGATAAAACAAAGGAAAATTACGGACATATGTAAAAAAGGGGGGGAAGGAAAATAATAATAAAAAAATAACTTTATTTATATAACTTTATATAAAGTTAATTTTTTTTTATTCTAAAAAATAATTATATATATATATATATATATATATACAGGGTTATTCATAATTCCCTCCGTGGTTTCGAAGCGTTATAGTAAAAAAACGAAGACAAATATAGCGAAAAAGAACATATGAAATTATTCCGAAAGTATTCAAGTTTTAATTTAAGCAGTTGCCGGTAGATGGTAGTAACATGTAACACTGAAACCAGTTGTAGTAAAGAAAAATGGCGTTTACGGGTGGAGGGAATTATGACTGACCCTTTACCTTCAGAATACATTTATCCATTTNAGATATATATATATATATATATATAAAGGGTCAGTATATTTCTAATTACAAACAAAAATATATTTTGGTATTTTTTAATTATAAGAAACATATAATAGTTACTAAAAAAATCTGTTAGATTATCGAAATTATGTTTGTACTAAAATAATAAATCATAATAAAGTTGATGGAATTTTTTTAATCCATATTCAAAAATTTATCTATAATTCTACGTTAAGTTTTACTTCTACAATCGATCATAGCTGAAAAAGCTAAGAACTTAAATTCTGCATTTTTAATAAGATGGATATTTTTTTTATTCCTTCACTAAAATCAAAATAAAAGTACTCATTTATTTATTGTTCTAACAAGAAGTATTTTGTTTTACATTATTTTCTAACGTCATTGAATAGCCGACGCAATTTTGAGTTAACGACTACCGATGTTCAACTCCATAGCATTCTAATTTTAAACTATATCCAGAGGACAAGGGAACTCCTGGATAATGTAATGGAATAAATTTGCTCTCGTGGAGGACATTTTGATGGAACTAACCGGCATTTAAGTTACACTTAGAGAAAAACCACGAAAACCTCCCATTATTAAGTCGAAGGCAGAGGATTCTAACCCATGACCATCTATCACTGATGATATTTTACGTCACCATAGTGGTCGGTGCGAGGCGGGTGCGGATTTCGTAGCGACCAGCCATCGCTGAGATTTCAACCCAGGTTTTCTCATTGGGAGGCGAATTCTCTATCCCCTTAGCCATGGCTCTTTTGTGTTTTGTCGTAGAATTTTATACATTTTAAAAACATTGTGCGTAAACACTGATGCATTAAATCCAAACAAAAGCTGACAAATCTATACACTTGGGTTAGAGGTACGCGATATTGCTGCCCCTGTTTACTTTACCATTAAATTCTACTTTAAATTAACCAATCGTCACTACAGAGATGTTAACCTCACATCTAACTTTTATAATGGGAACTGACTTTTTTAATTTTTGAACAGATTTACAGACCTATTTGAATAAAAGTTATTGAATAACTTTAATTCAAAGAAGAGCTTTTGTGTTTTACTGTGCAATTAATAAACATTTTGAAAACATTGTGTAAATCCTGAAGCATAAGAAAATAATTTGAGGGATTTTTCAAACATAATAATTTTGAAATAAATTAGATTCATATTAAAATTATTCCCTTTTGAATTTCCATTTTCCTTTTATCAATAAATTTATTGCTACTCCATTTTCTTTTAGGATTTACTCTTGCTAGAAGAACAAGAAGTAAGTAGATTAAAATATATTCTAAAAGGCTTATATAAATTTAAAATTGTACTATAGTGAATAGTTCAGAACTTTTATGAGTTTGCCCAATGCTTTAGGGTATAGTTAAGATAATTGAAATAAGCGATTGTTTTATACTCCTGAGATTCAATTCTATTATAATGCAAGCACTGGATGAAAAAAAAATCAATAGTTTTCCATTTAATGTAATATTTCTGGCTATTTTATTTTCTAACTTTGTAAAAACTCAAAATTTTATTTTCGAGACAAAAGTCTTTCATTATTAAAAAAGAAAAGAAAACACGATGTATACATATTTATATATATATCTATAGATATTTAATAACGTATATAATAAATACATTATAGTAGATAATATAATATTATAAGATAATATAATAAATATATATATATAAGTTTTCAATGATAACACAATGACGCTTAGCAATAAAAACTAAGAAGAGAAAATGAAGAGAAGAACCCAAAAATATATGAATATTTTGATTTTGTGTAAAATGATATTTCTCAATTATTTTAAATTATTCGTTTAAAATTTAATGATTTGACGTATTTTAATTTGTTTCGTTTACCTTTATGTATTTACTTCTACTAAGTTACTAAAAATATGCATTTTTAGAGATAAACATATTTATGAGTCTGAAAAATTTAAAATACCCACGCAGTTCGTTCCTTACAATACTACCCACGCAATACCTGACAGATTTAATCAATGTGGCATTGTCACAATATCTGTATTTAAATGTCATTTTATTTTACTTTTTCTTTCTTTTACACTTGCAGTAAACTTAAAAGACGATTTAAAAACTATATAATAGTATATCTTTATGAGAAACAGAAATATTTAACCTCAGATTTCATTCTGGAACTTCTTAAAACAAGTTTTTATGCTCTTTCGCAAACACTTTATTTTTAAAAAAATATTTATTATTTCAAAATGAGTGGTGAGGATTTTCTTAGATTTTTTGACGCGTCATTTATCTGGATTGATCATTAATCATTAATGAATCATTAACTGGTTAAAAGTATACACTTCATTAAAAATATGTTGTAATTTACTAATGGGCTAATTTTCTAAAAAGTTTGTTTTTTAGGTAGAAATTTTTTCTTCTTTAAAACCAAAAGAAGCGGAAGAAATTCATATCAAAACTAATTTTCTTGAATAGGAGTTTACAATTAACAAAATATGTCAGTTTCTTTTTTCGTTTTTTGTACTTCAAAAAATATATTTTCTAAAATTATTTTTTCTCATAGAACAAAGAAGATTATTATTAAGGCTCTAGAAATCTTACATAAAAATGGAAAAAAAATATTTGTTACAGAGTTAAGAATTGTGAAGTTATTTTTTATCACTATTAATGAATTGTAATTCACTAATAGGCTAATTTCCGAAAAAGTTTGCTTTTTAGGTAGAATTTTTTTTTCTTCAAAGCCAAACGAAGAGGAAGAAAATCATATCAAAACTAATTTTCTTGAATAAGAGTTTACAATTAATAAAATATGCCAGTTCCTTTATTCGTTTTTCATACCTTAAAAAAAATATTTTCTAAAATTATTTTTTCTAATAGAACAAAGAAGTTTATTATTTAGGCTCCAGAAATCTCACATAAAAAAGAAAAAAAATATTTGTTACAGAGTTAAGAATTGTGAAGTTATTTTTTATCACAATTAATGAATTTTAATTATATTTCCTGATTACTGCTGTTGTTACTTTCTTATTCTGAAGCTGTTCTTTTTAGCAGGTTTAAGTAATCCAATATTGAGTTTCATTAAATTTAGAAAAGATTAGGAGGGGTAAAAAATCCGTAAAATGATTTACAAGAAGCCTCAAAACTCACACAAGAAGTAAAGTTCAATAAAACGCAGGTTTTTACTTCGAAATTGTGAATAGTTGTGATTCTTACTGAATTCGTCGTGAATAATTGTGATTCGTAAAGTAAACAATATAGAAAAATGTATTAAATATCTTATCGGATTATAGAGGAAGGTGTTCTATCATAGACGCACTCTTTTTTTCATAAAATTTTTCTGTGACCATTTTCATAAGTGTATTTGAATGTCGATGATACAGCACTGAATTTCCTAGTATATCGGATGCTAGTTAGCATAAACTTGAGCCTTTAAAGGAAAAACTCTGATCAAAAGAGTGTCATTAAATTACCTTATCTCTTCAGCTAAGTTTGATGAAAAACTAAAAACTACAAAGCAGGAAATAAGCAGAAAAGTACTCAAAATATTTATGAATGATAAAAACGGTTTTTTCTGCAACGTAGCACTCTATTTTTATTAACCCTGAACTACAAACTGTCACTGTTTCTTTTCTTTAATTGGCACAAATACACGGCACAAATGGCGAACAAGTAAATTCTTGCTCATCTAAATTTCTTAACTTAGAATATAGTAACTAATTGCAAACCATAAATCATAATAATTTTCTTAACAGTTGCGAATTATTAAATTAATATCAGATATAATCAGTTTAACATTATTATGTACTTTAGAAACAAATATAGTAGTCAAATAATTTTCAAATACAACGTGAAAAAGTAACAGATAACTATTATCATTATTGATAGTAGGAAAAACTAACTTTTATCTTGGAATTAATAATTTTTAACTATAAAAGTTTTTAGTTTATCACTAAATTTCAGTACTGATTTGGAGCAATATCGTTTCTCATAATTTTAAAAATACAATTTAACACTTCAAAGATTGATGTTGTTCACTGTAAATCTTTATTTCTATAGGGTTCTGTGAACTTTAAGTTTGGTGTTTTATTTGCGAAAGCACGGCAAACAACAGACGATGAAATGTTCAGTAATGGTAAGTTAACATTTATTTATTCATTCATCTTTTGAATTAAATATTGAATTAAAAAAATGAAATCTTTTCAGTCAATTGAAACTACAAAACTTCATGTCATCTTTTTTTAATAAAATATTTCACCACAGTCCGAACAATACTTATTTTGGAAAATAAACTATGTTCGACAAACAATAACATAACCTAAAAGCAACTCAACACATGCATCAACACGCAACAGGGAAATGGATCGAATATAGTTACAGAGCAAACTGTCGTACAATTTATGAATTAAAACCCTTAATTCCAGAATGAGAAATCAATTTATGTATGTTTTTCCCCCTTTTAATAAATCTTATGCAATTTAAGACACACTATGTTTAAAAGTTACATAAAAAAATATGTGCATCTTGGGGAAAACAAAATTAAATCAAACATTATTTTTGCCAGAAAATCCCATCTATTTATTTATTTTTAATTTCATTTCCTTCCTTTATTTCAATTCCTCTTTAAACATTTAATTGGATCGGTTTCATTTTCGTCAAAAAAAACCTAAATCCTATTAAACCGGGCTTACCTAAAGATGACAACCTTTAGAACTGGTTGAAGTGTTCCACTAAAATGTCAAAGATACATTCTTAAGCTCTTGTCGTATTAAATAATTTTTTTTAATGTTTTAGAATTTTGTTCTAACATTTAAATCGTACCTCAGAAAAGAGGCAATTAATATTTTTGCAATATTAATGGCGAGTTTAGCTTACATTTCATAGTTAAATGGGATTTTTTGTAATAAAACGGGCTAAAATTAAAAATTATAATAAAATTTTAAGAATAATTTATTTAGCAGCATTTTAAATTATAGAAAAATTTTCAAAAATATCCCATTATTATATTTCTGAGTTTTGTTAATTCCTTCTTAAAAAACAAAAAGCGTGGCGAAATAAGTGCGATTCAGATTTAATGTAATAATTACGTTTATTAATCTTATTTCTAAAGTTTTTAATGTAATGCCTTTAAATAAGTTTTGGAATGGAAAGTATCTTATCAAATTCTAGCAAAGTCCATTGCCGTATGTAACTGGAAGATATTATATATATATATATATNATATATATTAGGACCGCCTTTAGCCCTCAAAACTGCTAGCACCCGCCTTGGCACTGTTTACACAAGGTGCTGATAGGTAGTCTGAGGTATCTGGTACCAAGCGCTCACCAGCTGGTCCTGTAATTCCCTCACATTGCCAGGAGATAGCGTGGCAGCACGAATTTGGTTTTCCAAGTAGGACTACGAATGCTCTATTGGATTAAGGTCAGGAGAATTTAGGGGCCAAGACATGACTTGTAAGTCACTAGAATGTTCCTCGAACCAATCCATGACGATTCGACCCTTATGACATGGTGCATTATCCTGGATCGTACATCCTCAAACATCATACCCTCGTCACACACCACGGGACCTGCGGGTGTTACTTACGACACTGGGTAGAAAATGCCCTTCAAGATGGCATTTCTTCTTTGAAATTGACCCCATGCTCCCCTAATTTTATAGGATTTCTTACGCGATGAGTGCAATTAATCTCCCTAGGGTGTTAGGTCATACCCAAGTCATACACTAGATGAAAATTTCTTTTATAACCGACCTGTGAGGTGTATTATAAAACTTTCAACAATTTTTTAGCATTTTATGGTGAAAATTAGTTTTCTCGTGTACTAATCTTTTATTGTTTATTTGCCATAGCTTCCTATAAGAAACTGGAGTAAGAGTACATCCTTTTATGATTGAATAATAATAATAAGCTTTAGGATTTATCAAGTTGTAAAGCAACTGTTTGCCAGCATTCGATTTTTTTATTCTTTGACTCCGCAAATCTTCAAATACGTACAGTTATTTTTATTCCATACGTTTGTTGCTTATTTTTATATATTTTTTTTCTTTTGAGATTAGCTTATTATAGCACTTTCATTTTAAATCGTCGTTCCCAAAACCAATATTTCTAATCTCCTTTAAATTCTGTTGCGAAAATTGGCTGATCTGTTATACAATTTTACGCTTTTTTCACAAGGTGTTTAAAAAGTAGGAATTGAAATAATGTACGGATTTCTGCTAGAATTTTTTTATTTAAGTTTTTTTTTATTTTTTTTATTTTTATTTCCAATGAACTGCACAATCAGTCAAAGTACTTAAGTTAAAAGAGGAAATCTCTCCTTAGTCAGAATATTTTCTTATTGATATATAATCATATTATTCAAATCAAAGCAATCATAGCTTAACTTTTTTGAAACGTTTTTTTTCCCTTAAACTCAAACACTTTAATATTTCCAACGAATATTTTTCTCTCAAAGTGAAGCACTCGCATTCCAGAGACAGTTCATTTTGAGCCACTGAAGTTAAGGCATGACCAACAACATGATTATGGCAAATGAGGTTAACATTGCAACCATTGGAAATATCACGAAGTCAAATAATCTAAGATCTATTAATTGTTTTATGATATTATGCTAGTAAATTAACTAAATATTATGCGTTTTTGAATAATATAATCTTTGGGATGCATCATCAATAAAGATTTAAGAAATTCCAATTTGTGTCATCAGGTTTATTGTTCTTGGATCGTAGAAATGAATGTTAAATTGAGATACGTTAATAAGAAAATAAGTTTTCTTTTTCGAACTAAAATATGCACTATATTCTACCAAAACAACTCGATTGAATGATGACAGTTTCTCATTTTTTTACATGGTAATTTCAGATCAGTAAAATAAAATTCTATTTGTTAGATGAAACCTTTTTTTATTAGTCGATAACAAATCTATCTACGGAATATAATGCTTTTTCAAGTGATATCTAATGACTAAAAATTTTTTATGAAAAACCACATGCACTGTCACAAGCACACGCAATTCAGCAATTTAGTCTAAATATCATTACATTGCATTGTAATACAGCATTATGGATTTCTTTTTCCTCATAATTAAAAACAGAAAACCACGGAATTGGATGATCGAATATTTTATTTCTATTTTTTTCCTTTATATAAGTGTACTAAAGTAATTTTATTTCCTTCTGAGTAATTCTTTTTAAAGTTTTTTTTTTTCATTTCTGGAAGTCAATACATGAAATAAAAATCTATCAACGTATCATTAAAAAATATGTGTGCAGAGAACGGATAATAGTATTTTCAATATATCGTTATCAGTATCTGATCTGCACTTAAACATACTCTTAAAATATTCGTGAATAATAAATATATATATATTTTTTATTTCAGAAGTTGGCACAAAAGATTTTGACAAGTTTGTATGCTTATTGGGTGAAAAAATAAGGCTAAAGAGTTGGGATAAATACAGGGGAGGACTTGATGTCAAAGGTAATTTATTTTTCTACTATGGATTTTTTAAAGCATTACAAAAAAATTATACTGTTTAGAAATCAGTAAGAATTTTTCATACTTCATGTATTTACGCAGAATTGCTTTTCTTTAAATTTGTTTTCACTTTTAATTTATTCATTAGTTTTGATAACTATTTCGAAGTATGAATTTCGTGTGATTATTTTAAAATTTCAATAGGACTTAAATGAAAATAAAAATAACCTTAATTATTTACTTGAAATAAAGGAATTTTAAATGCACAAAATAAATATTTATGCATATTTAATTCTTGACAATATGTAGCTTATTGTATACAATGAAAGTAAATTCTATTTATAGTAGCACGTGGTACTCGTGAGGTTTATTTTTCTGAAAATTTTGCCCTTCCAGGACAATCTCGACCGGAGATCGTGAGATGTTGTCCATGTGAATTTTATAAGTCATTGATAATTAACAATATGTAACTCGTGGTATCCAACCAAATTGTTGAGCTTTGTCAATATCCCACAAAGGCATCATCTCACGTAGTCAAAATCTTCGCGTAAACAATATTCTTTTTAACATAGTTCTACAAAACATTTTGTAGGATTATGTTTAAGTAGGATTAAACTTGAAGGGACAAAATGAAAACTTTGTCCTTTCAAGACAATCTCAACTCGAGACTCTGTCCACGCGAAGTTTTAAGACGTTCTTTCAATATTTACAATATGTAACTTTTGGTGCCCAACCAAATTGTAGAGCTTTGTCAATATCCCATAAAGGCATCATCTCACGTAGTCAGTATCTTCACGTAAACAATATCCTTTTAAACATAATTCAACAAAACATTTCTTAGGATTAAACTTAGACGGACAAAATGTAAACTTTGTTCCTTCAAGACAATCTCAACCCGAGGCTCTAACCACGTGAAGTTTTAATTCGTTCTTTGATTATTTACAATGTGTAACTCGTGGTACCCAATCAAATAGTAGAGTTCTGTCAATATTCGGCAACGGTATCACCCCACAAAGTCAAAATCTCACGTGAATATATTTATTATAATCCTACAAAAATTACACCTACTAGAAAGTTTTCTAAAGAGCATCATACTTGCGTGGTTAATTTTACTAAACTTTTGTCTTGCAAGATTTTTTTAACCCGAAATCAAGGACTTTTATCCACACAGAATTTTGATTGGTTGGTTGGTTCTAATGCCACTTGCCACACCAGCAAGCCTGCTTGGTGAAGCCGAGCAAATTTATGGCAGAGAGTGCGATTCTTGTTTTTCAGTGGCGCCATCTATGGCCAAGAATTTGACTTCGCCACGTCATACGTCACACCTGTTTATAAGGCGGACCCATTCATACATCCATTCATTCATCCACAGATCGTAATTTTGACCTGAATCANAACTCCTGGATCAGTACGGCCAGAGGTATTGATTTGTTATGGGAACATGAAAGACTTTTGAGACTCGACAGATTTAACGTGCATCAGTCACTTTACTACACGGGTAGTCTTCGACCGGCGGGCTTCGAACCCCGAACTCTCAGGCATGGGCCTACCGACCAGGCTATCCCGGCCTACACGGAATCTTAATACACCTTTAGTGAATCCAATTATATATTTATCAATAATTATTAAAAAAAATTAAAACAAAAATAATACTTAGATCTTTAATACTTATATTACAAACCAAACATTATTAATCGAATAATTATGCAACTAAAATGCTAAAAAAAACATTAAAATCGCATAAATTGAAAATGCAAACTATACCATTTACTTTAATTCCACTTAATTCCTCCCAAATTAGAAAGCGCTATAACATTACTTCAAACAACTAATCTAAAATCATTATGCAAACCATTTTCTTCATGCTTGGGATAAAAAGTGCAGTACAAGTTTAAAAGGATGGAGAAAAAAAAGTTTCTCTCATTAGTAAAAGGGGTTTCATATTTAAACTCTTAATCCTCTATTTCAAAATAATAAAACTTTCATTCCTCTTTGTTTACATTAGATGAGGAATCGATGGAGAAACAAGTCTTATAGAATCCATTTGAATAATCTTTTAAATGTCAAAGTTCATGGAAGGGGGTTTGCGCTTCTCTGCTATACACTTTTCCCAAAAGTTTTTTGATCCTACTCATGAATGTGATATTTATCTTTAAGCTGCGAGATTCTGTATTGAAAAGGAATGCTTATACGGTATATGGTTTGCAAGATTCTATTCGTCAATAAATTAAGTCGAGCATATTTTGAGCGTAAGGATAATCATAAAACAAAAATACTTTATTTACATAAACTTCAGTTTAATTAGAAATTACTCAGTTGGTATTAGTACGCATTATAAATTAATTCAGAAGGTAGGAAAATAACGAATTTTTTTGTTTCAAATTTAACTGAAACTAAATCTTTATAAGCATTTCAAAATAACTTGAGAAAGTTATGATTTAAATTTCTTTAAGAGTGGTGGCATGATCAAATTGCTTCCATGCATCTGCTTATGTTTAAAAACCAGTTATGTTAAAATTAGTTTTACAATCACTAATAATTTTACATGTGATTGTAATAAAGCACGCGCTAATTTTTTTTCACATTACTAACTATTTGGAAAAAATAAAAACACAAACTATTTCAGGCTATATATATATATAAAATTCTGTTTTAGTTCAAAATGTAAAGAAAACAAGGGGAAAATTACAGAACAATGAAAAAAAAGGGGGGGGAGGAATAAATAAAAATAAAAATAACAAAAACCGGAAGAAAAACAATTTCCGGAGAAAAGAGAACAAAAAATTTAAAAAAATTTCTAAACATCTGGAAAATAAAAGATATAATCTTCTCATCAGCTCACACGATTATATCCGCAAAAAAGAGTGCTTTCTAATATCGTATCAGTATAGCCAAAGCAAAATATATCAATCCAATAGTGTGTATCAATACAATACACGAGCTTTAACAAAAGCTTTAAACATAGTAGATGTAGGCATCGGTCATCGAGGTGAAATAAAAGTGCATGAAGCTCACAGCATTTGCTCAGGTGAACGCGAAAGAGTAGTCATTTAGCGTTGAGCGTTTACTAGCTTTTTTATTACTCAATCTTACTTTCAATTTTTATTTAATAAGTTCATTATTAACAAATTTTTTATTCAATTTTCTTAGTTGATACTAGCTGGGATGGAATTACTGAATTGATAATTACTATTTATGATTTGAGTCATTCTGTCTCGGAAACTATCGATTTTTGGACTGCGTGTCGATCAGAACTTACGATCAGAATTTTTTGAACAATATAATTAAATTTTTGCCAATTAGACGAATTATTTCATACAAATACTTTTAGATGATTACAACAGTAAAAGATGTCATCGCAAAGGCAAAATGAAATATTGCAAATGAAAAGTTAGATTACAAACAAAAATAAAAACATCATTAAACTTATAATTTGTGAGAAATATGTACTGTTATAATAAAATCAGTTAAAACAGGTTTTCCGATCCTTAGTTCACATTAGCTATGTTTAATTTTGCAATCTCAATAATTTAGTCTGTTTACTTGAAGAGTGTCTTTTTTCTTAAAAATGAAAATTAACTACTGAATCGTATGGTAAATAAAAATTTGTTCTTATGTCTTAATAAAATAAATTAATTTATACAATTTATCTCAATATTTCAATTATATCTTATTTTGTCTTATAATAATCTAACATATTCAAACGAATTATCATATTTGTATTGTCATCGTAGATTATTAATTATTCATTATATACATTTTAGGTGATATGACGGGTAAATATTCAGCCTATACAATTTACGAAGGTCACGAAATCATGTTTCATGTCTCTACCCTTCTGCCTTATTCTAAAGACAATCGCCAACAAGTAAGTAAAATGTTCGTTGTAACAAACCTTAAGAATAAGGCGTACCTATTAAATAAGATTTATACAGCAAAAAGTATGGTTAAAAAATTTATCTCATCTCGTTTAAATCTTTCTCACTCCCAACGTATAAAATTTTCATTGTTGGAAACTCTGAAATTTTTTGATTTAATTGTTGAAATTCGTAAAATGATTTAAATGCTGAAATGCGTCTAATTATTAATTTAATTTTTGAAATTCGCTACACGATTATTAACTAGTTATTTTAGAGTTATACGTTTACTTTTAGAGGTAGACTTCGTTGCCTGATTGATGGTATATTGATTTATACTATCGTAACTATTATGTTTTAATTAGAAACATTAAAGATTTACAATTTTTTTAATTTTGTTAACTGTTTTACGGATTGGTACTATGTTAGGACTATGCTTAAGCTGTGATGTTACGAAGCCAATGATAGATAGGTGTGGCAATAATGGGGTCAACCGTACTGACTGGTGTGACCAAAAAAGTTTAATAAAGGAAGTTATAATATGACCTGAACCTTATCAAGACTTTAAGGGAAGAGTTGGACAGCAAAATTAAGAATTGTGACGACTATTCGAAATCGTCAAAGATAATGAAATCTTCTTCAATCATTTCATAAGAAAGTACTACTGGTAGTCCAAAAGGACTTATCGTCATATAAGAACTTACTTAACTTATGGATAGCATACCCCGGATAGGTGGAACTGTTATCTCCTGTTTTACAGGAGATTACATTTACTCTTGATTCATTTATTTTACTTTGTCATAAGTATCATCGTTACTAGTTCCAACGTATTGCTTCAGTCTTATTGTACTTTTGAAAAGTTGTATCGTCTTGTAATTGTTCTTAAAATTATAAGAATATATAAGAATTATAATTCTTATAATTATTCTTATAATTAATATTATTTCTTCTAAGAACTTGATTTTTGTCACTTTTTCTTACACAAAAATGTCAATCTAAAATTTTAGGCACTTTCTTGAAATTTGAATTCACAGTTATTTTGATTGAACTAGCTACACAACAGTCTTTGCAGCAATGTGAAACTAATCGAATTGCAATACGTTAAACATGCATTACATCATAATTTCTGATCCGACAACCTTATAGAGCAATAAATTGTTCTCCCGGTCAAATGACCGGTTGTGGTAGAAATAGGTATACGACAAGTATTATTCGAAACAAACAGAATACAAAAAAAAATATAGAATATTAACTGTATATATTTGTTTGAAAAAGTCATGAAGATAAATGTTCAAAACGATGATAAGCGCATTTTCGATGCAAAAGTTCTGAAACGGTCATTTGACCGGTTATGTTACGTTTAGTGTTAAATCTTATTTTTCTAACCCTTTTAAAATCTTTTATTTGAGGAAAAAAAAAACCTATTCTCACTTAATTCCATCGTTTTTCTTTTCCTACCCTACTCTTTCTTTTTCAACACTCTTTAAAATCCTTGTATTTTGTTCAAGCTTGTTCCCTTTCTTTATTGACCAGCATTTCCTAAGTTAATATCTTTTGTTATCTCGAATAATTCTGTGGTATTTCCCCTATTTTCTTTTTTTTATGTTTCAGCGATGATGATGTTACCTGTTATTATACAAGAGTCATCATCTTCCTCTTTTTGATTACATTGGGTTTTTATGCATTTAATAAAGGGATACCCTTCTTATAAGTTTTATTATTTTTATGGGAATAACAATAACTTTTATCTGGTACTNTACGTTGAACACGCAATACATCGTAATTTCTGATCCGATAACCTTATAAAGCAATAAATTGTTCTCCCGATCAAATGACCGGTTGTGGTAGAAATAGGTATACGACAAATATTATTCGAAACACACAAAATACAAAAAAAAATAATGATAGGATATTAACTGTATATAATTGTTAGAAAAAGTCATTAAGTCAAATGAGCGAAACGATAAGATGATAAGCGCATTTTCGATGCGAAAGTTCTTAAACGGTTATTTGACCGGTAATGGCATGTTTAGTGTTAAAACGTAGTTTTCCAAACTTTTTAAAATATTTTCTTTGAAGAAAAAAAAGCTATTATCACTTTGATACCATCGTTTGTCTTTTCCTACCCTACTCTTTTTTTTCAACGCTCTTTTAAATCATTGTATTTTGTTCAATCTTGTTTCCTTTCTTTATTGACCAGCATTTCCTAAGTTAATATCTTTTGTTATCTCGAATAATTCTGTGGTATTTCCCCTATTTTCTTTTTTTTTTATGTTTCAGCGATGATGATGTTACCTGTTATTATACAAGAGTCATCATATTCCTCTTTTTGATTACATTGGGTTTTTATGCATTTAATAAAGGGATACCCATCTTATGAGTTTTATTATTTTTATGGGAATAACAATAACTTTTATCTGGTACTGGAGTCAAATCATATTACATTAGATGTGGTCTTTGATTTATGAAGAGAAAAACAATAAATACAAGATAGAACTGTAATCAGGTGATTATGGCTAGAGTTCTAACATGGAGTTGCTTTAATAAGGAAAGAATGTCATGATTGATTAAATTTTGTCTCCAGAAAATAAAACACACACTGATCTTGAACAATCTCGATAAGAAGTTTGTCAATTACTTAGATAATGGATTTGATTAAATGAATAGTCCATCTTGACAGTATGTCTTTGATGAATTGCCGTTAAAAAGGAAATAAATAGATAGTACCTTAACTTTACTACCCTTTAAATAGTTGTAATAGTTTTAAATTATATTGCATGTGAAATCATTTATTTAATTTTTATTTTTAATAAATTTATAATCTTTTTTAGGTAGAAAGAAAGAGGCATATAGGCAACGATATTGTGAATATAATATTTCTTGAAGGTTCTCATGTTGACCACATAAACTTCAAACCAACAATGATAAAATCTCAATTTACTCGTATCCTTTGACTCTTTGTACAATATTGGGACATAGGTGTCCCACTTGTTTAGAAATTTTTGAAAATTATCTTTCTTTTGGTTCTTTAACAAAATAGTTCTTATTAACGACTTCCACAAATAGAAATCGGAAATAAATATGTATATATTACTGCAAAAGTCAGAAGTATGGTAAATCTTAAGTTTTACCAGTAATACTTAGGCTTTACCAACGTGGCTTAGTAAAAGTCTGAAGTGTGCTAGAGATAAAACATAGAAGTTAGCAACACCTTCTGGTAAAAGCACTAAATGAACCGAACTATTGAAATTTATTTTTAAGATATTAAAATGTCTTCCGTAGTAATCGGGAAAATTGTTCATTAGTTCATCTTTTTCACAGGGAATCTTATTTGTAAAATGTAATAAATATTGCACTATTTTTTTTTAATTCTTTGATGAATAATTCCAAGAAAGATCTATCGACGCGTTATTAAATCATACCCTTATATCATCCCTTATTATTATGTTAGCCCTTATATCATCAAGATTCGATCATCATAATAAAAGTTATTCAGGATGATATGCGCCATTTTTTACACTTAAATCTGTATAGAACGTCTACCTGATTTCTCCCTCTTTATTGCGAATTACTGGTGATTTACACCAGAAATTTGGAGTAAGTTTGAGAAATAGCAATGTATTTAAGGGATTAGAGGTTGACTTCTTTTAGTTGCAACTTAAATCAATAATAACGCTGGCAGTTTGGTCATTGTGATCAATATTAAATTAAATCTAACAGTTATGCGTATTGGTTGTTCTTGAAATTTTGCCGTTAATTAATACACATTTTATAGAAATAAAATCATCAAAATTTTAACTATTAAAAAATACTATACGTACACAAGAATTTACAACTTTGATCTTAATCTTATAGTAACAGTAGTTAGTATAATAATTTTTCTAATGCAAACATAATAACATTAGCTCTAGTTATCACATTTACTTTGAAGAAAAAAACGGTAAAAATGTAACTTTTTTTTATTATATTTAATGAGGGAAAATGAAGAAATACTTAGCAAAATGATTTCTTACAACTTCTGATATTTTAATTGCGTTTCTCAGTTTTACTACACGTTCTATAGATAAATCAGGAGTTTATTGCCTTTTTTGTGCAATTGTAAACCTCAGAACTCTTTACATGGAAAAGCGCAATTCAGTATTGCCCTCATTTTAATTCCCGTGACCAGAATTAAACCTTTCATCGGGCAACCGTCCAAAAACAGTAAAACTTTCTGTAAGCTTCGAAAACCTGTGCGTGCCTTATTTACCGCTATAACTTCCCAACACTGGCACCTTAATTTTAACTAGTTTCTGAGAGAAAACCCTGTTCTTTTTTTTTTGTTTATTTAAGTACACGACCTGATATAAATACATTGAAAAGCTTTATGTACTCCTCAAATTGACACTCTTAAAAGCATTGCTATTTTTTATGAATCTTCCTGATAAAATTTCTTCTGATATTTAGATATTTGCAACTCTTGCACAATATTTAAATTAACATGCAAGAAACCGCTTTCACTTTTTAATAACTCAGTAATTTCTAACTAATTTTTCATTGATGACAGAAAACAGTTTTGGGCCAAATTCTAAATAAATTTAGAATGCACAAGGAAGTTTCACAGTTTAAAAATATTAAATTTCAAAATTAAAGAACATGTCTAGTTTAAATTTTTGGTTTAACTGTATAGAGAAACTTAGGTCTGAAACGCTAAAAATCAAGAGCTGTTAAGGATTCTAGTGATGCTTAGTGCTTCAATTTTATTGCTTCGTAGAGTACTGAATTTAACTAGGGCTCAATATCAATTCTCCGATCAACTGCGCTTAAAAAATATCCATTCATTTATTAATATGCAAATTATAACAACCTATATGTTTTTTCTGGTTTAAAAAATAATTTAATCGCAAAAAAAACCTCAATGATAAAACATTATTACATAAAAGTATCATTGCTAATTTTTAACCCTAATCAAGTTTAATACAAAACTAAAACAAAAAAAATACAATAAGTCAAATTTTCTATTAAATTATCACTTTTAAAAAACTAAATTATCTCGTAAGTAAGAGAAATTTTCATGAGAATAAAGTTCGTTTCAAGATGTGGGAGAGATAAAAATACTCGATCTGGCACTTTACTAATATGCATGAAGTAAATTTGATCGATATTCAAAGCAATATATCAAATAGTATCAACAGATTAGTTCATGTTTTAAAACCTAGTGAAGAATAATGGTGAAAACAAGAACCTACCAGAGGAAGTTACGTAAAGCTTCGATTGTTCACAGAAAGGTTTTGAAATCCTGTTTTTTTAATATATATATATTTGAAGTTCTGCGCATAAAATAAGAATAAATAAATTAATCTCTGTTTCTGAAATATTCCAACAACCCATCTACAAGATTCTTAAAATTCAAGTTTTCTAACAAAATGCTTCAAATGTATAATGTGAAAATTTTTCTTAAATAAATTTTTTAAACTAAGAAAAGCATCATCTGCAACTCTGAATTAAAGAAAACATTAGTCAACTGCAACTTGTTTTGAAAAAGAATAATCTATCTAATGTTTGATTTGTTGCGTTAGTTCCATGGGAAGGAAAGAAAAATTATTATTTTTTTTTTCGTCGTATGCCCGTTTTAGGCAGATTGTTCCTGTTTTTTTTTCAGTGGCGCCATCTATGGCCAGGAATTCGACTTCTGCCACGCCATTCCCACAACCGCATCCGTTTATAGGGTGGGTCGCCTTCACACACAAAGGAGAAAGGACATAGAACACAGAGAGAGAAAAAAAACATCCATGCCTTGCCCGGGATTCGAACCCAGGACCTTTCTGATGCAAGGACAGTTCCCTGCCCCCTAGACAGGCCGGTCGGCAAGAGAAATGATAATTTTGAAGAAAAAAAAACTAAACACAAAATGATTTCAAATCTCCTAAAGAATGCATAGTTTTTTTAAAAATAATAATTTATTTCTCAAGTCTTCACAGTTTCTATAAATTATAAGCCTTAGTGTGCGAGATATCTCTTTGTCAGGAATTTCTAAATGCAAAATTTTCATTCTTAAAAATTTGCTTAGTTGAAATAAGTTTTTAAATAACATTCGGTTCAAAATAGAAAAAAAATATACATCAAAATTTTAAAATTTAGTTATATATGTTATAAATTAAAAATAGCATTTTGTAATTGAGATAAAAATTTAAATTTTATTATACAAAACGCTTTTTAAAATACTCAAGTGCTCTATTCAAAGTTATAATTCGTAAAGGGGAATAATAAAAACTAACTGTTAAGAATATTTTAAAATTATTAATATATGCATTTAAATTCTAATTTATAGAAGGAATATTCTGATAATTCTATATACTTTATTAAAGATATTTAATTCCACACATGTAAGCTGATCTGAAATAACAGTTTATTAGACTATTACTAATTCCAATTATCTTGTAAATGTTCTAACTTATATATCTTGTTTACGTTATTAAAATTAATCAAATAAGAGTAAAAAGCAAAATTTGCTTCGTAAAATCCAAATGGAGTGTTAAATTTTTATGCTACATTTCTTATTAATTTGATTGCAAAAAACGTAATAACTATTTTAATTAATTGTTGGTTTCACTCAGCTTAAAGAAATGTACTTTCTAAAAGAAGGAGAAAAAAGTACTAATTCATTTGATAATTAGTTTCGTCTGATTTACAATCAAATGCGTGGTTAAATCCAAATATTTGAGATTATTTTAAAAAACCCATATTCATGAAACGTGCTCAGAAAAGATAAATTAATTTAAAACTTAATTTACTTTTCATTAAGGAGTTTCAAATACATTGCAAAGCCATAATTTTTGGAAACTTTTGAGAAAAAAACTTAGATAAGAAAATATAGCTATAAATGTGTATTTAGAAATATTTTAACTAAAGAAAGTCTGTAAATTAAGAATCCATTTCTGATATTCATTTTTTTAATTTAGTTAATTTTAGTTTTTGTATTTTTATTACATATTAATGAAGGATAAATAATAGATTCAAGTGAGGCACAAACTTGAATAAAATATAGTTGAGAGGCTGAATTCTTTCAAAGAATTTTTTTAAATTTCTTGTTAAATGTAATACTTTAAAGTGTAAATAAGCTAAATAATCATACATTTTCACACTCACTTTTGTAGAAGAGGCATACCGAGTGATTCAAATAATTGCTGTAAAGGAATTTAAAAACACGTATCGTTGGCACATAAATTGAACTCAAATACAATTCTATGCTAATTTATTCTGCTTAGTAAGATGAACATAGGATTCTAGTTTTGACTAAATTTTCAGTTTTTAAATTTTATTATAACTAAAACATTTATAACAAACAGAAAAACAGGTCATTACATAACTCTGCTCTACAGATAGGATCCATAATATTTTTTGATAATCTGGTGTAAAATATTCTGCAAAACAAACATCTTTTTATCAGTGATAAAAAAAAACTTTAGAAATACCTATTCTATGTGCGACAATATGTTCTATCCACAAAAATATTTGCTGTTCAAATCCTCCAACATTTAAGGTTTTTCGGAAATATTTTTCCAGTGAAAGAGAACGGAACCAGAAATTTTCAAGACAAGTGGAAATTTTAACAGCTTTTATATAAGGATTTAAAGTCACGGCGGACATTGTATACATTTGTTTAAATTTTTTTATGTGTAGTGGTGAACAAAAAACTGTTGAAATATTAATACATACTCTTTGCTACCACTAGAAAAAATATTGTGTAAAACTACGGATATTCCGCAGCAGTTGGAGGGTATATCGGTATCATATTTTATTAAACTTCAAAACCTACACCTTACTCGTGAAATGCCACATATAAAAGAATATGATAAATAAAGAATAAATATGCTGTAAAATTTTCAATTTTCAAAGTTACATTAATAAGTGAACCCAAAAAGGAAATTATTAGTTTTATTCTTAAAAACTGTCCTTTATTCTTAATATTTTGCATGAAATTTTGGTAGCTCAGCATAATAAGACGTATTTTAGAAACAAATTGTGTTTCGCTAACTTAAAATATTTCCTATCGCTTACGCCCACTACAAAAGAATTTTTTTGAAAATTTTATTTATTGCTCAAAATTAATCGTGAGGTTCTCATCATTTTATTATTTTAGCATTTTCACCAGTTGCTATGGTGACACATCATCCTTCTTACAGCCCCAATTGCTTCGTCAAAAAGGAAAATAATTAGATTTGATTGCGCATTACGTCAACAGAAAGATTAAATCTGCCAAAAAATAGTAAAGTATTTAAAATTTTTCATCACATTCAATATTTTATTTTTCATCTCAGTCTGGATTTTGAATAAATTTTTTATGAGTTATAAGGAAGATAAGTTAAAGTAAAATTTTATCAGAAATGTTTATTTCGGTAATTTATATCTTATTATTTTAGGCTGCATTAAAATGTCAGATGAAACTAAAAATAGTTTGATCAAACACATTCACGTATTTTGAAATTTTAAATAAAACTTGAATTTTTCATATCAAAAATTTTCAATTATTATGTTTTTTATTCGTTATAAATGAATGTTGAAAGATTTAAATCTTTAATATATAAAATGCGGATATTAAGTATTGTAGATATAAGTTCCATTTATATTATTTTTTTAAGATTTCAAATAATGAAACGGTAAATATTAGTTTAAACTGCTCTTTATTATGTTTTTTTAAGTTAACATGTTTGAATTTCGCTTAGAATTTTAAAAGGCACATAAATTACAGATTATTTCATAAACTTAGCAGGTTTTAAAATAAAATGTAGAATATGTATTGCTATTCTTACAACAAAAAATTATTGAGCTCGTTCTGTTGCAAATCAGAAAACTAGTATATATCCATATACTAGTATACTGCTCCATTTGCTAAATCATATGAAAAATTATGCAATATTTTTATTTTTATTTCGCAAAGATCCTAACATTAATGAATCTCTGTGCCAAGACCAAATTAAAAAAATGAACGATATTACGTTTTGAATAAAATTGTGCTTTTTAATTGTTCTAAATTGAGTGTGACGTAGAAACAATGAAAAAAGCGAAAAAAAGCAAGAAAATTACTGATAGACAATGGATCAGAATTTACCTAAGACACGTTAACTCTTAAGCTGTGTACCAATTAGATTAGATGAGATCAAGTCAAACTTTTATACCTCTCACCAACTTTCGCATCATTGTTAACAGTATAATTTACTAGCATATTGGTTCCCTTCGCTGTACATTGTTTCTACAGTAAAGGTGATTTATAAAATTAAAAAATAACTTCAATTCATGATTTTCGAAGCGGCATTGTGGTAAGCTTAATCATACTATAATCACCATTTTATCAATTTTTCTAATTTGTCAATTACAAATCATTCTTTTCAATTTCTAACTGTTAGGAAAAATTATTTTTAAAAAAACAACTTAAGGTAGTTAAATCTATTATAATAGCATGAAAACATAAAATTTTGTTTGATTATATTTGAGACCCAAATGATGTCCCCCAGAACTTCTTGATTCTTATGTAAAAATATACTCCTACTACTATATTCAAATTGAACCACGTATTATACGAGTATTACCGAGTAGTAGTGTACCCTACCAAGGGAATAATTTTATAGTCTAATTAGGTGGTACATAATGTGGTCCTATAGGTTTACATAATGTGGTCCTATAGGTATAGGTTTCAATCTACATTAAAACCATTAAATCAAATATCTAAGTATTCTTGATATTTAAGAGTAATTTCTGGATGTCAGGGCCTGCATTTCTAAGAAGCAAACGACTTTCTCTTCATTTAGACAATTGAAGTAATTTCTTTTTTTGACAAGGGGTAGAACCAAAACATACGACTCTCCCATTATCCGGCACTCCCTTCGATGACCCCCCCACAGGTTTCAACATGTTTACAGCTGATTTTACCAGATTAAGTGTTGCTTTTATAGGCCTTGTGCCATTAAATTAAAAATTCAATAAAATCCAATCATATTGCTTTTATGTCGATGAAATGTAAATCTGACTTCCTGAAAATAATTGAAAACAATTTTATAATTTTTTCAAGATATTGCATAGTTATTTATGTCAGAAAATTAATACGCAGGTTCTTTTTAATAAGCATTATTACATACTCTAATTATTAACTTTATTCCATAATTTTATTCATTATTTCATACTCAAAAATTCAACTTGAAAAGTTACCTTGATTATCTAATGTTATTGATTTTACTACATACCCCTATTCTTGTGACAGTCGAATAATCGGTACTTCGATAATTTTAGTAACTGCGTTATAAAATTATGATTCTTCAAGAGGAAGAGGAAGGAAAAAAATACTGAGTTTCATTTTCCTCATATCTGCATATCATATAACACATTCAATATTTTTTTTCTTTTTAAAAAAAAAAAAATTCGTCATAGATCTGTTTTTATAATGATTACTATTGAATTTATGTCTACTTTCTTGGTTCTGATTTGTGAGAGCTCTATTGGTAAATTGTGTTAGTCCCTTCGGTAAAAGAAAATTTAAACTAATCGTACTCTTTAAATTAATTTCCCATTTTCATTTCAAGTTTAGGTACATACTCGTAAGACAAGCCACTGAATAATATTGTATAACCCATTCAATATTCCTCTTTCTTTTCTAAAAGTTTCGTCATAGCTCTGGTTTTATAATGATTACTATCGAATTTATGTCTACTTTCTTGGTTCTGATTTGCGAGAGCTCTATTGGTAAATTGTGCAAGTCCATTCAATATATTCGGTAAAGGAAAATTTAAACTAATCGTACTCTTTAAATTAATTTCCCATTTTCATTTCTAGTTTAGGTATATACTCGTAAGACAAGCCACTGAATTATATCGTATAACCCATTCAATATTCCTCTTTTTGTTCAAAAAATTTCGTCATAGCTGGTTTTATGATGATTACTTTCGAATTTATGTCTACTTTCTTGGTTCTGATTTGTAAGAGTTTTGTTGGTAAGTTAAGTGAGCTTCTTCAATATTTGCTGTTAAAGGAATTTCAAACCAGTCGTACTCCTTAAATTTTTTTTTCTCTTCACATTACCTGTTTAAGTATATTAGAAAGGCCACTGAATATTTTCATATCCTCAGTGGTTCAACCATAGTTTTCAGTTTTTTTTAAGTTCAGTAAATGTAGTAAATGAGTGAAAATAAATTTTATGAAAACTAGTTTATAAATAATTATAGGAAATGTTCATAAAAATATTGCAAAAAGTTTTATTAAATTTGAAAAAAAATTTTTTTTTTAAAAATTTGAAGTATGAATTGAATGTCTTAACACCTCTAACACCTACATGGAATTCCTACTTGTTTTATATCAAATATTCATAAGTAATTTTTGTTAAAGCTTTAATGTTTTAATATCAAATAGGTGTTTTGTTTATTTAAAGCTTTCATAAAATTAATAATTCAAATTTTAATTTCATTTTTTTTAAATCTGTAAAATATAAACTAAGCTAATTATTTAAACTAAAATTGAATTGAATAAAGGAGCTTCCGTTTTGAACAAAATCTCGACCACCTACCTTGAACGCCTACTTCTGGGCCATAAAGACCCATGTGAATATCATTTGCTTATAATAAAAAAATAGGCAATGGCATATGAATTATTCATCATTGACTTTAGGAAAGTTTTAATTTCAAATGAGAGTTGTGAATACATCTTTGATAAAATTAATAATATGTTTTTAGTTAAAAACACATAATATGTAATTTTATAATGTCATGGAACTAACATGTGTATTTAGCTTTTTGAAATAATATTATGGTTCAATTGTTACAATTGCTTTGTAAAAAGTTAATTATTTTTAGAGTAACATATGGAATTATTTTCTTAACTATTATAAGATATTTTTGCAGTTGTTTCCTATGAGAGAGAGGAAGATTCCTATAGGTAATTACTATTCATTTATCTGTTTTATTTATGTTTAAATTAATTTATATCAATATAGATATAAATTTAAACTTCTTTTATCTGAATAAAATATCTGGCTTGAACACTAAAGACTGGAATTCTCGTTGTACTTTGATAGTTTGAGGGAGCCAGTAGGACCCTTCCAAGATATTTTTTGTTTAAACCAATGATGTGACGTACCAAAAAATCATTTAATGAAGAAATTGTAGAAGCTCAATAAGTACAGCTTTTTTCTATTTAAATAACAAAAACGTCAGATAAATGGGAATCAGTTTTTTTTTCAATCATGCAGTATTTTTTCGTTGTTCAGATAATTGAGTTTCCATTTTTTACAAATAATAAAATTAAAACGATAAGAAATAAACTGAAATACTTTTCTTTCAATTGATGAAACTGAAAATTTATGACACTTATATGTTATCTTTTACTACCTCCAAAACATTCAATACACTACACTTCTTCTAAAGCGCATTTACTTTAAACCGCTTTATTGTGTAATCAGGATATATGTTCCTTGTATGATTTCTCTTTCATAAAGTCTTTATCCATTATTTAATTCTGTTTTTGAAACTACTGTAGAATAAGAAAAAAAGTCAAGTATTGAAGTATTGTGCGATCAGGCTCTTTATTATTTCCTCATATTTCTTACTGAAGTTCAATAGATTTATATATGATATATATAAAACTTTATTTTAGTACTTTTCTTTTTTTTTCTTCCAGACGTGGACACGTACCTAAGCTTGTAAAACCCTTAACCGTATAGTCCACGTCTGGACGACAGTCTAGCTCGCACAAAACTCGGCACATAAGTAAGCCATTACAAAATTCATAACTGCACAATACAGATGACAATAAAGATGACAATAATTCGTATCACATTAGTTAAATTTAAAAAAAAAATTGAAGCAAAGAGAACAATAAATGAAGCGAATTTTGTTATATACATAATAATTGAAAAAAAAGAAGCAAAAAGAAAACAAATAAAGAAAATGTAAACGAGGACGTATTTTAGTACTAGAAAATATGTTATTGTGATTCCGAGGAACAGTGAATTTCTCTGTAAGATGGCAAAACACCCCAGAGGCCACTGTTGCCCCAGTCGCCATTCTAGATACACCTTTTTATATTTACACGTATATATATTTACTGATTCCCCAATCCATCTCCATTCAGAAATGCATTGACTGTCTGAAAGACCTGACACTGAAAGGCAAGCAAATCGTCCTCCAATGGATCCCNTTCTTTTTTTTTCTTCCAGACGTGGACACGTACTTAAGTTTGTAAAACCCTTAACCGTATAGTCCACGTCTGGACGACAGTCTAGCTCGCACAAAACTCGGCACATAAGTAAACAATTACAAAATTCATAACTGCACAATACAGATGACAATAAAGATGACAATAATTCGTATCACATTAGTTAAATTTAAAAAAAAAAAGCAAAGAGAACAATAAATGAAGCGAATTTTGTTATATACATAATAATTGAAAGAAAAAGAAGCAAAAAGAAAACAAATAAAGAAAATGTAAACGAGGACGCATTTTAGTACTAGAAAATATGTTATTATGATTCCGAGGAACAGTGAATTTCTCTGTAAGGTGGCAAAACACCCCAGAGGCCACTATTGCCCCAGTCGCCATTCTAGATACATGTTTTTATATTTACACGTATGAATTAATTCGAACTTAGATCATATATGAAAACTTAGAAAATCGTACTGCTTTTTAGATACATTTAAAAAAAATGAATACTCAAATATCACAAAACTTTCGTTTTTGGCGAAACCTGATATATGCTTCGAGCAAAAATTTCGTCCAAGTGACGCAATAATTATCGTCTCTTTTCTGAGGAAATGTATTTAGTCAAAATTAAAGAAATATTTCGCCATTCTATTTTTTCAACAAAAAAAAAACTTGTAGTGCCTAGTGTATCTAGTGCAACTTTTCTAATAATCACTTTATCGGGGCCACCATGTAGGTGAATCAATGTCACCCCAAGAACACAACAAATATAGATAGTACATAGAGATGAATTACACCCGAGCCCGAAGTGGGATTCAAACCCGATATCTTCCTGGTACGAGGCAAAGTTCATGACCGCCATGCAAGCCGATCGGCTTATTTCTTTACTCTATTTTCAAACGTCAGGTCTTTATTCTTGTTAACAATCACCCACAATGCACTAAGATGATATTCCAGTTGAGGGAACATTTTCGTCATATGCTTGAGAGTAGGAGTTTCGTCACAAATCACGCGATTTCGTGATGAAATGATTCGCAAAATTAAGGAAATACAATAGATTGCTAAATTGATGAAAGTGAGAGTTTCATTTCTGAAAGTGCAGTAATAAGAAGATTACTGAACAAAAAAAATTTTTCACACGGGCACCTTATTCTTTCTAGTGTTTAAATAGAGTCTTTGTAAATTTTCGAATCTTGTTTGAAAATATTAACATTTCACATAGGTTTTGATTAAAGAATTTTCAACCAAAAAAATACTTATTAAAAATATATCATTAATCCTAACTAATTATTGATTAATTCTCTTATTGTAAATAGGATTATATACGATGAATAATAAAGTTATTTATTAATAAAAAAATATATTAAATAAAAATAATGACTTGTACTTCACTTGAAATTTATATACCTTTTCCATAGGATTAAAATAAGTTATACTTGCCATTAGAAAAATATTTCATCAAAAAATACTTATCATTAATTTAAATAAATGTGATCTAAGAATTTTTAAAAAACCGATTTGAAAGTCATTTTTTATTTCCATAAAATCTTAATTTGTGGTATACGGAAAAAATATTTTGGCAATTCATATCGCCTTATACATTTTTTTACTATCATAAGCTTCTTGGCTGTGAAAATATTTCTTTAGAAATTTCTTCGCTCACCTCTAAGATAAAATAGAATTAGCCGCTATGAATCATTCTTTTTTTAAAATAATATCCCAAAATAATTAGACAGATAATTAATTATGTATTGTTGAATGCTTTTTTTATTATAGGAAGTCATTAACTTCCATATATCAAATGAATTTTTGTATGAAACCAAGTTTAATGATAATAACCTAATTATATTTTCTTTGACATCATTTAATGACGCATTTTAATAGCATAATTTTTTGCCATAATTGCCCTAACCTTAAATTCATTATTTATGAATACGAGTTTCGCAATTTAATTGCTTTACTTTTAACTTTTTAAATATAATATATGACATAATAAAAAAAAATATTTATTAATTTCTAAAGTGTTATTAAAAATGTGACACGAGAAAATGAAAGTTACAGAATTTGAACAAATAAAAGCAGAAAAAAATTACAGACGAAAGTGCAAGTATGCTGAGTAATTATTTTATATCAGGTTGGGTGTATTGTTTACTATTGTGGTGATTTTCCAATTATTCTTTTATAACTTTATTAAACAACATGATTACACGTAAACTACCCAAAATACTCAAATATTTTACTAATTTCTAACGTGTTACTTATGAGTACTTAATAATTATGAATGTTGCACAAGAAAATGGAAGTTACATAATTTGCTCAAATAAAGGCAGGAAAAAATAATAGACGAAAGTGCAAGTATGCTGAAATAATTATTCGATATCGGATTGATTAAATTGTTTACTATTGTAGTGATTTCCCAATTATTCTTTTACAGTTTTATTAAACAGCACAATTATACATAAGCTACACAAAATATTCTCATAAAAAACCTTAATTTTTATTTAATTATATACTAATTGCCGAATTTTATAGATTCCACGGAATGCTGTTTATATCACCATGTTCATTTCCAATCTGATTGAGCTTTCCCTTGATCAGGGAAGATTTATTTTCAAATTTCCCTTTAGAAGGGATTAAGATATATTCGAGGCTCTAGTTGCCACGCGTACTATGCCCCATTTATGTCTTCATCATTTACTGAATGTCACGTATTCTCTCATTACTTCTTAGGGATTATATGGGAAAGATGAGCAACAACAATCATTCAAAGTGTATTTATAGCAGACTCCATAATTTCTTTGATGTCATCTTTATGAAGTTTACAGTTTGAGACATTTTTTTACGAAAAATGCTTACGCGTACTTGCTTTAATAAAAACAATAACAAAAATATTTTTCTTGTGAGTTACTTTAAAATTCAAAGTTTCACTACTACATCCTGTACAGTGATGAAATCAGCTGTATTTATTTATAGAATAAAACTACCGAATATTTTCTTGTAATATTTTTTTAAAAGATGTTTCAGTATTCTAACTAAATGGAGATAATTTTTTTATTTTCAAGCAGAAATGATGTCTTTTCTTATTTATGATATACTGTTTGAGAATAACTGATAAGCAAATTAATAGGATTAAAAACTGCAAGTCAAAAAATGACGTGATGAAATGAAATAATTTTTTTTTACTGAAATATTTTTATTCAAGTTAATTATAGCACTAATGAGAATTTTTTAAAGCAGTACAATCAACACCATTAAAATGATAATTTTTATCTCCAATACTTGATTTGGTGATCATTATTTGGTTCAGTAACTGTTTTATTATTTACGATGTACTTATCAATTATATAATGGCATGCATATTCATTTAATTAACACCATAATTGCAAGTTTAAAAATAGTGCGGAAAAATAAATTATCAGAAATAATATTTTCCTAAGCCATTCATAACATTAAAACTTAGGTTTTAAGACACTACTTATAAGATTTATAGTAAAATGCTCATAGTTTAAAGTTCTTATTTTACTTGTAAAATACTGTAGTTAAAAGCACTATATTAAAATGCATTTGGAGCGCATTTGAAGTCACTAACATTGCTAGTCATGATTGCGTATGTCATGGTACGCAATATCATATATGATACTGGGTATATGCAATGCATATATGCAACCATTGCATAAATGCAATGGTCGAAAGTAGCTAACTATAAGTAGTGAAACTCAAGTACTGTAACTCCCACTATAAGTACTGTGATCGCTACTTTTTTCGTAGTTTGAAGTGTAGTGAACTACTTTTTTAAAAATTTAGTGTAGTGAGTAGGGCGATACAAAAACAAATAAAACAGTAGTTTGTAGCGATTCCCGGAAACTATTTTTAACTATAGTTTAGTAAAAAAACACGGCTGTTGCTAATTTTTCGAACACACACTAATTTTCGCAACTAATTTTTCAAATTTTATGGGTAAAAATCCTCGCGGGTCTGTCAGTGAATGCAATAAAAAAGACCATGTTGCTGCAGCTGAGCATTAACAGGAATTACGTATTTAAAATCACGTATAACTAACATTTAAACTTGCCATTACAAAAAAATAGACAATTAATAACTTTGGTCACACTTTGACATGTGAATTACACTCGTGAAAAATTGATGTTATGTAAAAAAAAGGGAACGTATTTTCAATGAACATAATTTTTTAAAGGAAATAAAAGTCCATTAAACAATTAAAAGATTTAAAGTATATGATAATTTATCATTTCTTAAATTAAATATTCGCTGTCGAGAAAGGCAGAAAATATTGAAGATCAAATGAACAAATTTGATAAAAATGTTTTGAAATATCAAATTGGCTTATGTAAACGTGAATAAAAAACATGATATATTTCTTCAGTGAAATATTTCTAAAATTTATAATATATAATTTCGATAATTTGATTTTATATCAAATTATCGAAATTATATATTATAAATTATAGAAATATTTCCCTGAATAAATATATCATGTTTTTTATTCATATAAACGTGAAATATTTTGTACATTTACATTACTTTACATTTAATCTAAAGTCGTCTCCTTACAGTGGTGAAGTAGTTACCACAATTCCAAAGTAGTTTGTAGTCACTACATTTAAAACAAAGAAGTTGTATTTAACTACATTTGTAACAAAATAGTTGTAGGAAACTACAAAAATAATGTAGTCTTTCCGACCACTGAACTTATATTAAAAAGAATAAATAAGAAATGTTCCTTTTTGTAATAGTATTTCCCTTTTTTGATCAATTTGTTTTATGAAAAATGTCAACATTTTATTATATATTTATTTAAATTCAAAATTTTACAGACTATCAGTGTATTCAGAGGAGTCAGTTCCATTATTTGGCCCGACTCTCCCAAATCCACCGATTTTCAAAAACCATCAAGAGTTTAGGGAATTTCTTCTCGTGAAATGTAAGTTTGTGTTTGTTTTTATCAATAGCAACATACTTTTTTTTAGCCTTAAACAGAACTTTTTCCAAGTTTTATCTGTAACCTTATTTTTTCAAAGTACGCCATGTTCAAAAACTATTCAAAACTTCATGTTTTAACTTTGAGTTTTCCTTTTGCTAAATTGTAAATTAGTAAAATATGCATATTTTTACTATAAAAATACGCACTAAGGCTAATGTTACAAAGTTATAAAATATATTTTAAATATTAAAAAATCTAATCCATTTCTAATTCTTTAAATGCAAAAGACAGTTTATTTATTTTATTATTATTAACTCCAATAGGTTTTAGTCTTATTTCTTAAACAATCTTTAAAAAAAATCTGCCATAAATACTTTAAAATATATATTTTTCAAAGCACTGTCTGATTTTGATAACTTTAGTATTACCTACATAAATATTTGTCTTAATCAATAAAAATTGGAATTATTATTTCGCTGAAAATAATTTACTTCTTTACAATGTCTTAATATTTGAGTAATTGCTACTCTCTTATAAAATATGCAATCGGTTTTTTTAATTAAAAACAGCAGTAGAAATCAGTTATACTGTTAAATCCAATTTTTAAGTATCAAAAAATTAGCCAACACTTTCAAACATTTAAATTTTTTAAAAAAAAATGTGTCATTAAACGCAAATTACTACTTTTAAATAAATATGATGCAATCTAAATTTAAATTCGCAATAAAAATAAATCATTAAATGTCAAACGCAAAGTAGAATTAAATTCTGAATAAGCCCCTTCATCCTATTGACAATATCTAATTACATTTCGAAATACTCAAAGTGAAATTGTTTTAGTTAAAAGTAATTACAGTCAAGAGATTAATAGCTGTTTCCCTATTTAAAATCAAAGCAATTGAAGACGCTTTAGACTATAAGATTGAACCACAATTTCAATAACGATAGCGGAAATTATTTAGAAATGCAATTTGCAAAAGGAATCAATCTCAAAGACTTATTCGTCTTCACGGAAGGCAAATGCCGTTGTTGTGCCAATCTGAAATTGTTAAAATTACAATTTTCTATCGAATTCAATACCATTTCCAAAGTACATATTGCTAACACTCATTAAATAAGGCGTCGTATTTCCTTCTACATATTGCGTTTGTGGTGCTTTGGAAGTTTCAAAATTGAGTTTGAATTGATATAAGATTATTGGATGGTATACATTTACTGAATTTTTAATAAGCTTTCGTTGAGTTACAAAAATTGTCAAACAATTTGAGTAGAGTTTTATATTTTAAATAATATTCCTTACAACTTTAATGGTTGATTAAAGCTTCGTTGTTCATTCATGTTTAATTAAGAAAAATTTAATTACTTTTATGATAGTTTTACTTTATTAATATCTGATTAATATAATACTAAAACTTTCTCTTAAAATCAAATTATTTTTTTTAAGTTTAATTTTAAGATATCCATCTCATACTAGTGTAAAATATTGATTCGCCTTCATTCTAAATGTTTTCCCTATGCCTTGAAAAATGCTATCTAATTAACAAATTTACTAAATTTAATCCCGTTCTCTATTTTGTCTATTTTTTTAAATCTAAAATAGCAAAAGTATTTTACTTTTTGTAGTTCTGGCGCTGTAATTTGAAAATTCATCATACCATTGTTTTTACTAAAATTGCACTTACTTAAAAAATTTAATTGTGAAGTTGTTGCTTGAATTTAATGTTTAGTTGTTAATAGAGAAACATTTACTGATTATTTAATAAGTGTTTGCCGAGAGATACAAATTGTCAAACAATTTTAATGGAGTTTCATATTTTAAAGAACAGTCTTATACAATTTCATTAGTTGATAAAATGAAGCTTCGTTACATATTAATATTTTTATTGACAGTAGTTTAATAAATTCGATGATAGTTTTACTTTAATCTATGTTTAATATGAGTTGTGTACTATCCTGAAAAATTTTCTTAATACTTTTTTTTGCTCTTAATTCAAATTTAATTTCCTCATCACTCGCTTTCCTTCTACATTTTATGTTTGCCCTATACCCTGTAAAAGTCTATTGAATTAATAAATTTGCTAAATTTAACCTTATTTGTTATTTTGTCTATTGCTTTTATTCTAAAATAACAAGAATATTTTGCTTTTTTTAATTATGCCACGGCAGTTAGAAAGTTTAGCAAACCATTGTTGTTGCTAAAATTGCTTTTATTTATCAAATTTAGCTGCAAAGTTATTTTTTTAATTAAATGTCAAGTTGTTAATAGTCAAGCATAGTTTTTATTATAACTTACCTCTTATTTGTTACCGTTAGTTTCAATTCGTACTGCATTGAAAAAATGGTAATTGAAGTAACTGCTTAAAAGTAATATTTTGCTTAGGCTCTTTATTTTTATCCCAACACTTTCACCCATAATATTATTTCATTTAAATCTAGAAAAATGTCACTTTTTCTTTTCCTAAACTTTCTAAGCGTCAACTCCAATGATTTTTTAGTGATTAATCTTACGTGAATTTTCTTATAGTGAGCTACTAAGTAAACTCGTGTGAATTTTTACCAAGGAAAGGTTTTTCATTACTAAATAAAATTAATGAATTATTAAATTAAATATTTTTAGTTCATTATATTCAGAACAAATTTCATTTTTAAATGAAACAGAGCTTGATAGAAAAAGAATCGGAACAAATTAACTTCCAATTTTATAAATGTTTTTTGAAGCAGACCATAACAGAAGTTCATATTTGTTTCAGTAATAAATGGTGAAAAAGCTGCTTTTAACACACCTACATTTGCTCAGAAAAGGGAGAGGACTTTAGACATGTTGATAAAGGATCTATATACAGAGCATATGGCAGAAAATCGAGGGGTAAGTGTTTTAAAATCAATTAATCAAGTTAGTAATTTAGGAATTTAGTTTTAAACGAGCTATTAATGATAATTTTCGATGCGAGATTTCAATGATTTTGAAAATGTTGAGAAAAACCAGAGTTCCTCACATTTCAAATGACGACCACAAGTATGGCTAAGATATTAAATTAGTGGCAACAATTACAGCTTAACTTACCAAACGAACTTATTCTTCCTTTAATGTCAATGTTTTCATTTTTCTTAAATTTGATTGTCTTAAAAATAACATTTTGATTTTTTAAAGATTTTAAAAAATAAAATATTCTTTTAAGTTCTTTTGATAAAACTCTAATTCACCGTTCAAACCATAAATCTCTGGGCAAAATTAAACAGTATTTTTCCCGTTACATACTACTTTTCACTGAATAATATGAAGAAAACCAGCTTTATGATACAACCTGAAGCTTTAAATATGAACAAAAATGCTGATACTAACACTTAGAGGAGTAAAATGATTTGCATTAAGGACTGCAATTATCCGTAGTGTATTTATCTTTAACTGTATTAATGACAACTATAATCGGTATTGCCTTTATCAGTAACTGCGCCAATGACTACAATAGTTGGTATTGCATTTATCGGTAACTGCATTATTGACTACAGTTATCGATGTTTCTGAGGTAAGTGGTTTTTTAAGCAACGGAATGAATTTAAAAAGGAGGATTTCAGTTGTTTAGTTTTTTTTAAATTAATTTTTAAAGATAAGATTTTTTTTAAAATTTTTTAAATGAAAATCATGATTAAAAATCCCCTCCTTTTGAGCTCTTGTCACTCTATTATCCAGCATTATTGAGTTAATTAGCTTCTTAATGTAGAAAACAAAAATTGTTATAAAGATTCCATTTTCTTTCGAAAAACTTTCAATACATTGTTTAATTACAGACAATGTTAAACCGAAGAGCTTTCAGTGATGTGCTTTCTGATGCATCAAAAACATCACGAAGAAAAGAGGAAGCAAGACAGGTTGAGTTCGTCAGGATTGGACAAGTATGATCCTAATTGTTTACTTAAATATGTACTTTAACTGAAATATAATTGTGTGTTAATTTCAAATACAAAATAAAAAATTCCTCGTGTCAAAGATTTGAAATCAGACAACTCTAAGATCTTAATTGCCAATTTTTAATCTTGCCTTAGAAATTACAGGAATAAAAATTCACAATATATGCATTATTTAAGAAAATGTTTTGTACCAAAAATTTGTTATACAAATAATTGGTCAGAGATGCTTATCTATGTATTCCTTTCTTTAATAAAATCATCAAAATATTTATCAATCTTCGAAAACCTTTACTCATGTCAAAGATTTAAAGTCAAACAATCTAAAATCTTAATCGCCCTTTTTTAATCTTGTTTTATAAATTATGATGATGAAAAGTCACAATACATGCAAAATTTAATTTTTTTTCTTATTAAACGCTTGTTATGTAAATGTTTGGTCTGAAATGCTTATTTATGTATTATTTTTTATAATAAAATTATAAAAATATTTATCAATAATTGATTAGACATTGTTTAATCAATAGTGTACTTTTTTTAATTAATATTTATTTTTACAATATTGAACAATTTGAGTATTTCAGAAAATTTTCTATAAGGCTGAGACAAAACTTATCACCGTAATAAATATTCGGTGCATTTTGCATTCGCACAGTTTAACGTTTTAAATGGTATTGTTTAATTACGCCGCTGTTATTGATTATGACTTAACAACTCACCGATTTATATGGATACTATCCCAGAAGTCCTAGTACTCCACAATATTTCAAATGGTAGAAAAATAGTGCATAAAATTAACTTCACTTGTTCCAACTAGTCACCATTTTATTTCATTACATAATTAATAGATTTTGCATAATTGTTTAAAATGTTTAAATACAGTCTAGTTTAAATATGTTAAAATCAATACTCAAGCTTATTAAATCAAAAATAGAATAGTAAAGCTTAGTAAGATGGAGGTGCTTATAAAATTAACAACACACATTTTATTTAAACAGTTAAATATGACTGTTTAATGTTTTCAGGCATTCAACTGAGTGAAAATCGGTAATTTCGACTTAAATTTATTTTCCATCTATTCTTAAACTTTAATTCATTATCTTTATAAAATACTTTAAATTTTTGATCTACAAATTTTAGAAATGAAGTTATAGTAGTATTTTTGTTTGCTGACAAACGAAACTGAAAACGGAATTAAACTCCCGAAAATGAAATTATTTCTGATGCTTTGAGTGTTTTAATGTTTTGTATTGGAATTAAATACATTTTTAAGGCAAATCAAATTCATTTTCAGAAATAAGCTTCATATTATTCGTAGAATAATCATAGAAACAAGCTTCATTTTTTCTCAGATTTTTCTTAAATTTCAAGCTTTTCTTGCATTTTAAATACATTTTCCGAATAACGTTGATTTTGAGAAAATGTCTCTATGCTAACAAACGTTACAAAAAAAGTTTACTTAAGAATTCTTCAAATTTTGTTTGTAGATTTTGTATAATGTTAATGATGTTTTGAACAAAATGCTAATGTCTAAGTGTGAATTTGTTATTTTTATCAAGCTTTAAATAAGAATTAAATTTTTTTCTTTGACAATTTCAATATTAAACAATATTTAGTTCTATTGCATTGTCTTTTTTAAAAAAAAATTCGTGATTTTGGTTCAAAACATAGGGAACAAAAAATTGTTGATCATTAAAAAATTATTTTGAAATTCATGCATTATAATTTATTGTAGAGCTTTTAGCTCGACATGAAAAATCTTTAGTTTTTAAGCTCAAATTTACCCTTATTTGGAAATATCTATTACAATTTTTAAACTATACTTTAAATTTATAATTTTAGGGTCCCTGCTTACCAATCATAAAATTAAAATTATAAATAAGCCCTTTTTATAAAAAAAAATTGTCGAAACCAGACGGATGCCTTAATCAATATGAAAAATTTTATTACCAACATTTTTATTTAAATGTAAAAGATTGTGGATTAGTTACCATGACTGTGTAGTATGGTGATATTAGAATACGGATCAGTTTCGCAAAAAATGGTATTTTGGGATATAAGAAACCTATTACCACAGAGATTAAAACCTGTTACCCGACACCTACATTGGCCATAATAGCTTTTGGTTATAACAGTATAAATGAAGCCCTTCCAGTAGTATTTAATACCACATCACTGGCACAAAGCATCACTGGCGTCAAATATACTTAGGCGACTTTTGATGGTCTTCGAAGTCAAAAATAATTTGTCAAAAATAATTATGTAAGTATTAGTGTCGTTACTAATTATTTTCAAAAAAAAAGAATCAATTTTGGTACTTTGGTAGAAATTCAAATAAAGGTAAATTTCGTACTAAAAATCAAAATTATTGGAGTGAAGGAGCTCATTCATAATGGAAAATCATAAAAAAAAATTTATTAACCACTGATGAAAACCATCATTTAATTAACATAATTGAATCATGTGATTTTAGTAATTTACTGAGAGAATTCTCAGCATTGTCATCACGAATCAAATTTTTTCTCCAACCTTAATGGAGTCAGAGATTTTTACTGTAAAAACTCAGTTAACGATCGGCTAATTTTCAAGAAAACGGTCATAAAGGTGCCGATTTTTTTATACACGTGTATTATACACGTATTTGATTAGTGCTGACATCAAGTTTAAAATAAACTAACTATCTACGATTACCTTAAAAATATCCTGGTACTGCCATCTGGTGTGTAAAATGAGAAATAAAATGTTTTCCGAGCAAAATAAATGAATTAGTTTTTTTCTTATTGGCGCGTTACTACTGAACACTCCAGCCCGGGAATATCACGGGAGCGATAAATAGAGGGCGAAACCTCACCCTGTCATTTTGACGGGAGCGAGAAGGAAGGAGTTAATCATACGTACCTGTTGCAATGTTTACAAAAATAAGGTTCTTAAAACTTACACACAAAAACTTTATTTTGCTTAAATTTAAACTGAATTTTATACAATGACACTCAAAGAATGGAGTAAATCCTGCACAGTTAAGTCTGCAATGAAGAAACAGAAACTGTTCATTACTTTTTGTTCTTTACAGTGATCTATCATTTCAGCTTTATATTTTTTTAAGAAATACGTTTATAATTTTTTTTAAAAAAAAGGAGTTTCAGCAATGTCTTTCCATTTGTTGCCTTCCTTTTCAAAAAATAAAAAATTGGTAAAAAGTAACTTGCAGGTATTGTAATTATCTGCAGTGTCACCTGCTGCTCAGGTGGGTTTCTGCTACCCCGGTTATAAGTACCACTGGTGTTATGTTAATTCATATTTTTTTAATAGGTTATAACAACAAATAAAAAGGGACAACAAATAAAAAATAGGACCTATATTAGCTTAATTAAATCTTAATTCATAGTGTGGATCTTAGTTCCTATCTTAATTCGCAGATTTGATTGATATTTATTTTTTTAATTACGTATTTTTTCCGGATATTCAGCAAGTTAAATAAAAACAATTTCAACTCAAATAAAGGCTTTTAAATATATTTTTTTTAATTCGTTTTTGCTTTTACAAAGTAATTATAACCGTGTTTGTTGTATTTATATCTATTTTCCGCAGTTTATAAAACTTTTAAAATAAAAAATCAGCAATAAATAATTTCATTAGTTAAAAATTAAGATACTGTTATCCCAGTGAAAATCAATCAACATACTTTTAACTTTTATATTCAAGATACTTTTTTAATGAAGGCTTAAGCTTTTTTTTTTTTTTTTTTTTTTTTTTTTTTTTTTTTTTTTTTTTTTTTTTTTTNTTTTTTTTTAATTTTTTGAAGTGTCTTGCATTTAGAATCCTTATCAAAAATAAGTGATTACTTTTATTTATGTTTGCCAGAAGCAACATGCATAACTTGTTATCTACATAAAAAAGAGCTATATATAAACATCATTTCGATGAAATTCGGAAAACATCAATGTGAAATTTAATTAAAAATTGTAATCTTCTCAGTTCTTTCAAAACAAGGAGTGAATCGCCTAAAGCTGAAAAAACAAAATTACTCTGTTTACAAACATAACTCAAGAATTATTTCTAGGAACATGAATAATTTATTGAAGTGACTTGCATTATTAAATAAAAGCAAAAGAGTATCGAAGAAAGAAATAATTTACTTTTAAAAACTAATTTTATTTAATTAATATTATTTTTACCTAAATATATATAATGATGAAAAAATAGTTCTGAAGAAATATTTAATTATTTCTTATAATTAAAAGAGATGTATATGTCACAAAGTTCATGCATTTATAAAAGTTATAAATAATGAATTATTTTGTAGTTGGCGACATCTAAATTAGTTCGCAAAATACATTTAAATATTTTTTTAATTAATTGAAAGATCTTTTTAAAGAAATCCACTTTTCCAAGGAAAGTATTTATGAATCTTTAAGAGATAACAAGATTTAGAATAAAAGTTTTGTTTTCTTTAAAAATTTACTTCTCTTTTATTCAAAAATAAAGAACTTAAATCAAAAATGAAAAACAAATGCATGGCTCATCGTTTTATCCCCGTTATATATATCAAAAATAAACAGCTTTCAATACGTACGTTATACAGTAATATTTTTAAGCTTATAAAAGGCTTTTGTAATTCTCAAGAAAGCTTTAGTTCAATTTATTTTTAAAAAGATTTAAAATAATATCAGATAAATTGAGCGTTATTTCTAAAACTAAACATTAAAATAAGTGCTTTAGACAATTCTTTCAGATCATAAGAAAAATGAGTAAGGATTAGAAAATTATTATAATAAAGAAAACAACTGAGATAAGGGGCCCAAAAAATTTTCAACTGGTTTTAAAATTATTAAATCTATATTAGTGTTTTATTAAATTTAAATTTGTTTTCATTTTTTCAACAGAGAAATCGCTTAATTTCCATTTCCTCAACAAATTATGAATTTAATAAATTCTTCACGGTATTTTACTGCTTGGAATTTTTCCGTATCTCAGAATGCACTGATTTTATTCAAATTACTTTTTTATAAAAACCAGCAATTTTTTAGATAACAGAACAGTATTTCCTGTGTATATTGACATTTATTTACACTCGATTATTACCAAACGGAATATTACCTAAACCTCATAATTTCAAACTGCTACATAGTGTCCTAAAAATGATTATTTTAAAAATTAATAACTACATATAGAAATCATTTAATCAATTAATAATTGAAAATCAGTTAATAACTAAATATTAATTAATGACTAATTGATAATTATATTGATTGTTGCTCTTAGTTCTCTCTAAGTCTTAAAAACAGTCGCACAATTGGTCTACAACTATGCTTTTAAACTTATTTTTTTCTAAGTATCACATTTTGCAGAGCAACAATAAGCGAGGTTCTGTCTGAGGAAAAAAACAACAAAAATCTGAGCAAATATTTCAATTGGAATGGTGGGCATGCAGAAAGTGCAATAAGTTATAATAATATAAGTTGAATACGCATTAATTTATATAATACGAGCAATAAAACACAATAAATTTAAATAAGCAGAACCATTTTTTCAAACTTTGTACATAGTTTAGGATTTTAGTGAGAAAAAACGCGTCGTTTACAAAAACGCAGCAAGCAGTACAATTCTATTTCTTTTTTCACTTTTCAGTTAATTTTTCCAATAGCTGTTTATTTTCCTGACATAAGTTAATATAAACAGCATTAGGAATCGAAATTTGTACAATACTTTAAATTTTATAGAAACGAGTTTACCAAGAAGAATGCAATTCTAATTTCTTTTTTTTTGTTTTTTTTTTTGCGTTTTTAGTTAATTTTAAAAATCGCTGATCATTTTTCTTACATAAGGTAATAAAAAAAGCATTTGGAATAGAATTATATTTATAAAAACAAAAAATGAAGCGGAAAGGAGGTTTATGTCGTTAAGTTTAACCTCGCAGAATATGCAATTTATTTACTGTATTTGCACATTTTGTTTGTTATATTTCTATAAATTGTTTAATAGGCATTGAAATTAGACACGATCGTAAAAGGGGATGCTCCTACTAGCTTGGCCACAACTAGTCTTTTTAAAAGAGAAGTAAGTTCACGTTTGGTTTAAAAATGAATCTGTGAAATTTGAATTGTATCATATGTATTTGATAAGAAAACTATTATTTTTCTATGTCTGACTATGTAATATCAGTTAATTTATAAAAAGATTAAAAAATTACAATGAGGTTGAAATAGGAAAAAAATTAAAAATCGAACAAAAAAAACATGAATGCATGTTGGATCTTTTCTGGGAATAACTGTTTACAGAGATGATTGTGCCCAGGAAAAAATCCGGATTTCCGGATTCCGGAAGTTTCCAGAAATCCAAGGGTTAGAAGTTTCAAGAAATTATCGATCATGTATAAAAATTCTTTTATATTTTTTTTGAAAATATTAGAACTAAAATTTATATTTGGCCATCTCTTTCATTTGTAAATATTTTTTCTGGTAGAATAGTAAATGTGATTAGAGATATAAGTAAACCTATGCATAATTATTCCTTTAAATTATGCTGCATTTATTTATATAATTTATTTAGAATTTCATGTTTTGAAAGTATCAACAATTTAAATTTATAAGGACATGAATTTTTTAAATGCGTCATTAACGATTTTACTCAAGAAATTTTCAGGAATTTTTAGTTGGGCTCACAATCACCCCTGTGTTTAATACAGCAAAAATATTATTCACGTCTTTATGTAAAGATGTACTCTAATAACTCTGGAACGGAATCAACGATTTAATGCTCCTGGAGAAAGTGTTTTAAGATTATTCTTAGGACTTCAAAGAAAGTAAAGCTAAAAAAGAAAGAAAAATAATGAAGCATGCAATGCAGTATGATGAACGTCGAGTTTAAAGTTTATTTTTATTTGATATTAAAATTTTTAGAACAGAACGAGACTGGTGTTGGTTTTGACGAGATTGTAAGTTGCTGTTAGAAGTAATTAATGTCTACCTATATATAAATTCTTATGAAGGTGTCGCAGTTTTCCATTGCTGTCGGGGCAGTTTTATCGGCTGGAAAATTATCCAGTTTTCCAACATTAGTTTTCATATTGGTTTGGTTGTCATCAGAATAACATTGATAAAAGTCAAAAATAGTGTTGTTTTCCAATAAATATATTTGCATCCCTAACGGTGTATTTTTATTGGCCGGAAAATCACATGGTGGCATCCAGTTTTCTCGCATTAATTTTCAAAATGGTTTGGTTGTCATCAGAATAAAATTGATGTAAGTCATAAAGGTATTGTTACCATAAGGGAAAATATTTGAGCATGGGAAGTGTTGGGACAAGTGCTCTTTTTAGTACATATATTTTCAGTTGAATCGGGGTTTGTGAACGTCAGCAAACAAGGGGCTTAGCATCTTAGTGGTTTAATAAATTTATATATTTCTTTAATTTTCTCTCTTTACAATTTCACCAAATCAAAATTTTAAATAAATTATAGATAATTCTGCTAGTCATGACCCAGACTTATTGCAATTTCCTGACAATTATTACATATCTTTTTTCCTAGGAAGAATCAATATAGATAATTTGAAACACATCTATACCGTGTATTCTAAAATTTGGCAGACAAACTTAAAGGAGTGATAAAAGACGTCAAGTTAATACAATCTTACCACAGAACATAGGTTTAAAAACTATGGTAAGAGGGGGGGGGGGAATCGCAAAAAAAAATAATACAGGTTTTGACGCCAAACTAGAAACTGAAAAAGATACTACAAACTTCCTCCCTATAAAAATATTTATTTGATTAAATATTGATAGAGTTCATAGAAATGGAACTCACTGACATCATTGCCCAATCTACAATGACGTAAAAGCAATTCTCAGACATCAGACATGCGTACAGATGCCAGGTATGCTTTTGAGGTTTTTTGAAGAGGATCTAACCTAGGACCTGCAGGCATCACATAGACCAGTAATTCAAGGTGACCTACTGAGAAAATTCACACTGGTTGAGATCCGGGGAATACTGCGGGCATGTAACGAATCCCGCCTGTTCAATAAATAAGAAGATTACGCACTGGAAAGCACAATGAGCAACAGTTGGAACAAACCTCGACTGACCTCCTCCATATTTTGCTTCCTCAAGATTCAGAGAAATCATCTTATTCTGTCGGTCATTCTATATATTAAAAAATAACAAATCTTTGATGATTTTATATTATTTCTCCCTTCCATTAGCGAATATATGAAAGCTTTTTATAAATTTATCTATCTATACTTTAGTGCGTGCGTGTGCAATTTAAAATTACGAGCATAGACAATTATTTTTCAAAACGCAAACTCATAATACTATACAAGTTAACTCATGTGATGCAACACAATTTTATATTTTACTACAATTTCAATGGCATAACTACAATTTACATTTTGTAAAACCAAAAGTCGTCAAATTGAATAAAAATAAGTAAATATTCAATCGCAGAGTTTATTTAAATTATACTTAAAATACGTAATTATTCAATACTTTGAATTTATTGAAAATAATTGTAAGAGATATTTTTAGTATTTTCCGTAGTGAGCTTTTTACACAGTTTCAAACAGTCAGTATGGTATTTAATATAATTTTTAATCATATCTTATTGCATATATTGAAATTTGAATTTGTTTTCATTCACTTGAGAAAATGAAAGCAAATACGATGTGTAAAAAAAAAATTAGGTTAGTGAGTATAATAAGTAAGTTTGTATTGCAATTGTGTATTAATTTTGTTCAAGCTGCCAAAGAACACGCACTGCAGGGTAAGAATATATTCACAGCATGCTCAATTGCATTTTGGTAGTTTAGATCTTGGTTAGAAGCCTAACGTATTTTATTAACCTTTATAGTATTTTTATCCATTTAAACCACTTTAATTAAGCTGTTATATGATTGTTTTAAAAATTTTCAAGTATGTTTGAATCATATAAGCTTTTACTTAATTAGACCCACGATTTAACTGAAAAAACGTGTTTAAGTATGAAATAAATTTAATCAATAAGGTTTTTCTTTAAAACCGCCATTTAAGCGACACATTTAATAAAAAAACATTTCCTGTTTTCTTTGATTTTTTCTTTGAAACACATGAAGTCAAAATTAAAGGTGAGATCATAGCTCCTGTAAAATGTATGTTTGGTAACAAATTTAATTTGTAATAATGGAGGATGGAAGGTTTTTGTGATTTAATCTTATTATTAAATAAAGAGCTTGCAACCAAAACAGCATTTTAATATATATATTTTAATTTTAAACTTCGTATTTTAAGTACGTTAAGAAAATAAGACTATTAAAAAGTTTAAAATTTATTTATTAAATATAAATATCTGTTTATGTAAATATAAATATCATTTCTAATAATACTTTAATGACTATACAACGCAAATCATATAACAGCTTAAATATTTTCTTTATTATAGTAAATATTACAATATTTAGTTTTACTAGTTGAATTATTATACTTCACCCAAAAATATCTTTATAGCAACTACACAATTATTATAAATAGAAACATGTTTATTGCTTATGAAATTACCTCTTTTTCAAGTAATGCGCTAGAGTACCATACCCTTTGTTAACATTTGCACACTTTTTCATGGAGTAATTAAATGGCATATAAATTATTTTCACATTATTCCCTTTTAATTTTTAAATATCTATTTGCCTTTCACTTCTGATTCATAATCAATTTTTATTTTATTATTTTTAGCCCTGGGAGCCGCAGTGCTTTTATCCAGATTTTCCACACGAAATTGTTTGTGGAGATTCTTGGGGTAAGGAAATTTATCATTGTTAACTATCATTTTGAAAGTGTTCACTATTTCACCAATAAATTTGTTTTTTTTAGGTGATAATAGATTAGTTCTAGCCACAGAGGATGGGACATTCGTAGTTGAAGGTAATGCATTTACTGTCTATACAAGGTGATCAAATGATCAAAACTTTCCGGCTAAAATTGCAACATAAAGACGTTAGAGGATATTTAAAATTAAGCCGCTGGCTAATACGCTAATTAGTAGAATTCGAAACCACATGAAGGTAGTAGAATTTGACTATTTTTAACTAGGAAGGCCCGAAATACTTCATTTTTCTAGCAACAGGCTTTGCTCAAACTACTGACCGCTCTGTATCATTTGGTTTAAGAGAGAGATANACACAGCTCCTTTTTCTTAATTTAGTGAATAAAGAAATTATTTGACGTAAAATTTTGAAATAAATTTTTGTAACACAACTTTTACGTAATTTGATGACTTCTTTTTAATATGCAATGAGAATATAATTAAAAATATAGTGTAAGCAAATATTTTTGAAAAATGTGCAGCACACAAAAACAAAAACATGCACAAAAACTGCAAACATGCATAATACAGTTTTTTTTCACATCAAAAATCACATATTTTACATCATCAAATCATTGCATCAAAATGTTGTAAAAAAATTTTTTTTTACATAAAAAAATCAAATTGACGAAGCATTAACTTTGCTACAACTGCGAAAAATATTATGTAAACATGAATCGTAGCAGTATGTTATGGAATCATTGTAATGGATAAATAAATAGATCCTTTATCGCATAGAAATTCGCTACCTTATTTAATTATAAGACCAAAAATTTTTGATACATAACATCTTTTGTTTTTTTTTTCTTTTATTATGTAAAATTTCGTACTTAGAAAAGCTTGTTATCTACTCTTTAAATGGAAGCTCAAAATAATAAATTTTTTAAGTAATGTTTCAAAAAAAATTAAATTATATATTCCTAACATTTAGTCAGGCTTTGTGGTGCCCCCCTATCCCCTGGTGCCCTAAGCACGTGCTTAGTGTGCTTAATGGTTAATCCGGCCTTGCACCTAGTCTGTCACGCGGCGTTACCGCATACGCATTGTTCTGTAAATCATTTCATATTTGCACTAACAATTTAAATTTTAGCCAAGCTAATTAAATTTTAATCAGCTTAGTTTCTGTTTATTGTCTTACTAAAAGAAGAAAGAAGATTTCAGTTTAGAGTCATTATCAAGCGTTATGTAATCACATTATTGAATTATCACTAAAAAAAAGTATTTAAGAAATTTAAAATGTATATAAAAAAAAAATTCTAAATTTTTGAAATATTTTTCCCGAAATTCTAGAAAAGATATAAAAAAAGTTTTAATCTCGAGAATATTGATATCGATTATTTTAATCTTAGAAATGCCTGCATCTCATTTTGAATACTTCCTTTATACAAATATTAATTGCGCTATAAAATAAATTAATATTTGTATAAAGGGAACATAAAAATTCTGGCATAAAAATTTTTTCAAGAACTCATGAATGGAACACTGCCGTTTCAAAAAACGTAAGAAAGAGAAATTTTATTATTTTATTGATGATTTAAATTATAATGTTCACGATTAAAATTTTTAAAGGGGATTTATTTTAATTTATTAACCCCTTCCTTCTCGCTCCCGGGAAAATGACGTGGTGAGATTTCGTCCTCTATTTCTCGCTCCCGTGATATTTCCGGGCTGGAGTGTTCAGTTGTAACGCGCCAATAAGAATAAAACTAGTTCATTTCTTTTGCCCGGAAAACATTTTTATTTCTCATTTTACGCACCAGACGGCAGTACCAGGATATTTTTAAAGTAATTGTAGATAGTTAGTTTACTTTAAACTAGATGTCAGTACTAATCAGGGATACAAGAAATAAGTACTTTTCAGATCATTTTCTTGGAAATTTTCCGATCGTTAAGGGGTTAATGATTCTTTAAATTTTCTCATATAACAATTTTGAAACAACTAAATTAATTAGATTTTTAAGCTATTTCCTTTTTATTGTATTGATTCTTTATTTTATTTAAATATTACTTACATAATTTTGGCATTTTCTTTTTCAGAGGGTGCTAGCCATAGATTAATTTTTGATAAATCTGTACAAGTCAAGCAACTTAGTGTAGTTGAAGCTCACGGTATACTTCTTATTAGAGCTGATAAAGGTATACATATTTTAAATTTTGAAAAATTATATTTCGTTATGACATATTTATTTTGATTTTTATATTAGTATTTAAAACACAAAACAAATATTGTTTCTTTTTTTAACCATTAATTCATGTAAGAAAGTTCTTGCGGAACACTCGTTCTACATTGAGTTGTTATTTATTCATACCAAATATAAAGTTGTGTATTATAATGTGTAATAATATATTTGGTACAAAGTCTAATTTAAATATATCAAGGACGAATTTTTTTGTACAGAATAATACATATCAAATAATGCGTATTTTTCTTTTATTTTTATTACTATTTAATTATTGGAATATTTAGATAAATTTCTGCCTTGGCAAACTATCTACTATTTTGTGCTTGAAAAATATAGAAATTACTGTTATGCACATACTTTTCAACCTAACTATTACGAGTCTTTGCTTTTTTTTTTTTTTTTTNTTTTTTTTTTTTTTTTGTATTTGTGGGCTAAGGTTGGTTGTTTTTCTTTATTGGTCTAATTGATTATGACTGGTTTTTATTTATTGGTCTAAGATCTCGTTCGGTTATACTCTGTCCAATTGAAGCAATCATAATCAATGTCTAAGGCAACAACGCTAAATGATGTAAAATTAACCTGACTGAATAACAAAGGAGAGCAAAGGAACTCGAAATTGGAAAAAAATATGTAAATAAATATTTGCGGCCAGAAAAAGTAGCTCTCTGAAATAATTACATACTTATAAATATAGATTTGGGTGGTTGAAATGCCTGATTCATTTATAATAGACAGAAAATGTTAAACACTGCTCTTTTCAGATATCCCAGTTAAACTTCATTTATATGTTCGAACTAGGTCATGAATACTTAATGATTCTTTCCTGTCTTGTTGACGCTTAAATTTAAATGATACATGAAATGTGCGTAAATTTCATGATAAAATAAATTCTTCATTAAACATCGCATACAAAAGGAGCGAAATTAAACAAAAAACATCATTTTGCTGTTGTATAATCGATTCTTAACTTCAGTTACAATTTAACAAAGAACAGTTCACTTGTGCAAAAAGAAATGGTGCACTGGTTGGTTTTCTAACACCCCTTCTACATTTTTACTAAAAAATAATCCATTGAAAAGATATTCAAATCGTGTCTAATAGAAATTATTATTATAAGACAAAGGCGGCTAAGTTGTAAACATAATTTTTTTTTTGAAACTTTAAAGAAAAATTCTTTTGGTCAATTACTTTTTATTCGAAACTGCTACAAATTTATCTAAAATCTTCGGTTAAACGTAATACTAAGCATCCAGTGATTTTCAAAGAGAATTGTCGTAATATCAATTTCTAAAATTCCCTGTACCATTTATAAAATAAACCTCACTCCTTGAATAGATTTATTATTTGGTTCGAAAGATAATGAAGTACCATATTTTTTCAATATCGCTCTTTGAATGAAACATTCTATAATTTAAAATTTAAATTTAAGAATATAGCTCAATATAAAAAACTTAAAACTTTAGCTTTTTAACACTAATGAAATAAAATTTATGAAAAGTGGCATATTTTGGTTTTAAAACGTGTAGGAGGTACATCAATTTTAAAACAAATTTCAATAAATCACACTATTTTTAGAATACAAGTTTCAGTTAAAATTATTACTTTAGAAAAATAGATTACAATACAAACTTGTATGTACTAGACAAATATCTATTGCTGTTGCAGGCTCTCTGTTAAGAGGTTCTTTGCGTTTTCTTCTCTCGTAAAATAAAACTACGAAGTTGGCCTTTACACAATTCTACACAAATCGCGTTTATCTTTCTGATATAAGATTCAAGTGTTCCGTGTCTTCTGAATTAAAATAGACATTCAGTTTCTTGTCTCCTTCTTATGGAGTTATTAAAGGCTATACTTCTGCTAAATAAATTGTTTACTTATCAGTTTGAAATGTTATGCTTCAAGCGATTAAATTAAATATTTTTGAAGAAGTAGGTTTTGTTTGAAAACTAAAACGTTGCATTTTACACTCACTGAATATTACATCATTTAATGAATATGGATTGATATTCCTTTAATTGCGCACATAAATTCTTTTTTCATTTTGTAGGTCGTGATAGTCGAATTCATGTATTTCGCCTATCCGATTTCGAAGGAGAACAGAACGAGTCTCTAGTACGAACGAAATCGGACATCAGAGATCATAAAATTGAAAGATCTAAAGGTAACACTTTTTTCATAGCTTCTTTTTTACTTGGTGAGTATATTTTCGAAAATCAATATATATATATATATATATATATTTTAAAAGTCAAAAGNAATGAAAAGATTTCAAACTTTTATAATAATGAAATTTAATCTTCTATAATAATAAAACGTGCATTTATGAGGAAGCATAAAATTTTCGAATCTGTCTCAAATCTTTTATTTTAGATTTTAATTCAATTATGTCTAAAAAATACTTTTGTCATATTTTTATTTACTATTTTTTTCATTTCATCTATCATATAAGAAAATCTTCTATATGATATTTATTAAAACTTATACTAATATTATATTTGTTAAAACTGCATCAATATAGTGCAGTTCTAGTATAGATACTGTAGAAAGGGTTTTTACGTGCCCTCGAAAGGGGTAAATGCCAGAGAAAATTAATTATGGTAAACAATGACTACCACTAGTTGGCTTCGAGCAACAACATCATGCCAAATAATAAAGATACAGTTAATCTTTATCTTGATAGGATAAACTACTCAAAACGTGTTCTGTTTAATCTATCAAAGGAAAGTTATCGGAAAGGGGAAAATATATCAAATTAAAAAAATGGAGTTATGTAAGCTTTATTATGCTGGCACGTGTATTTTAGTTTTGAGCGTGATTTCGTAATGTTGTTCAGATTTGATTTATTGGTTATTTTCTTTATTTTCACCCCACACAATGAACGGGTATTCAGGCAGTGTTGTTATAATTCATAATTGATTATTTTTCATTATTATTATTTTGCTAATTACTACTTTCAATATCATTGCCTTTCAGTGCGATAGAAATAATCAAATTATTTGTAGAAAAAAAATAGTAAATTGAAGTAAATTTCCTCCTAGTTTTTAAATATATCAAAATATAAAGTTTCAAGTGCTATTGCAAATGATACTAAAGCATCAGCAAATCTTCTTCGCTTATGACATATCATTCGTTTCAGGTTGCCATTTATATGCATTAAGCAGACCAGGTGGAAGTCATTTGCGGATGGCTGTCGCCTTGGGACGGAAACTCGTTATTTTGCAATGGAGGCATTCTGCAGCATGGACAACTTGGTGTGCCGCATCAGATACAGATACTGTTGATGGTTTTCAATTTACAAAGGTAAGAACTAAATATTTTGAAACTATTTCTACAACCTTACATCACAAACATCAGAATTGTGAAAATATGTGTGCACTAAAAGAGCTTATAAATTATTTTGATCCATTATCAAGAATAAAAAAAGCTAAATGGTTTTAGTATTAAAAGCAGTTATTTTTTTTTAATCCACTTAACTTTACTAAGAAAATGAGACACTTTTGCATGAATGATTTTCACGACATTTAACTTCCCCAGGGATCTGTCCAGATATTTTGTGAAAGATCCGCTTATGTAAAATTGTGAAAAAATTACTCGTAATTTGTTAAGTCACTTTCTTTCAACCAAAGTCCGATTTTGTGAATTTGTGCAAATAGGGTCCGTTATAGCAAAAAAACTTTTTCAAGGAGTTTTTAAATTCTAAAGACATGCAAGATTATGCTCAACACTGCAAAATTATATTCAAAAAAATTAAATTTTAAAAAGTAAGCAGCAATTGCAGCTACTAAATTAGCTATGCAACATACAAATATTTGGTATTTAGCCTATCCTGCTGAAGGCAGAATATTAATTTCGGACGAATAAAGGAAGAAGCGTCTGCCGAAGACAAAACTTAGTTCGTTTACATCTGTCTTCCTGGGAAGGATTTATTGGATTAACAGAACAATAAGGAAGATAAACAAATTTGTGCAGGGTCCGATTAAAAGATAAATTATTTTTTGAAGGGTCCGTTTTTAAGTTAAAATATTTTATGAAGGGTTCGTCTTTATGAGAAGATATTTTGTNCTGCTACTAAATTAGCGATGCAACATACAAATATTTGGTATTTAGCCTATCCTGCTGAACGCAGAATATTCATTTCGGACGAATAAAGGAAGAAGCGTCTGCCGAAGACAAAATTTAGTTCGTTTACATCTGTCTTCCTGGGAACGGTTTATTCGATTAACAGAACAATAAGGAAGATAAACAAATTTGTGGAGGGTCCGATTAAAAGCTAAATTATTTTGTAAAGGGTCCGTTTTTAAGTTAAAATATTTTGTGAAGGGTCCGTTTTTGTGAAAAGATATTTTGTGAAGGGTCCCTTAATGGACCCAAATTTCTTCTAAACAGTTCCCCATTTTATAAAATATAAATTTTAAACATTTTAAATTGTAAGCTAATGTTTAAAAAGTATTTATTTTTAAAAAAGTAACATTGAAACCTAATACTTATCTAAGACCGCTGCTATCAAATTAATTTTAAAAAATTTAAAATTATTTTTCGTATCGGCTTATAAACCTATGGTAGTCTGAAGAAAGATTGTGAGCTTTAGCTTTATTTTAATGGCAGTCATCATTAATAATTTATTTTCGAACTGCCAGTTGCTTGGAAAAATCTATCGAAGTATGCTTCGTAAGATAACTAATGAATAAATAAATCAAGAAGAAAGGAAGAGAATAAGTGAGAAGATCTATAAAAACATATAAATGATCCAATAAAGGAATGCGTAAATTAGTTTGTAAATACAGTATATAAACCCATAATTTAAGGTAAGGCAATGGGCAATTGCAATTGCTTTTAATACATTTTTATCTTCGCTTTAAATAGTACATTTTAAATCAATACCAGTTTCGTAAAGATATAAAATAAAGGTACTTTATGTCCTGGTAGAAGATTTCTCGTTTTAATATTTTTTTTAATTATTTTTTTACCTTTTTTTAAAAAAAAAATAATTGCTTAACATATTCATTTTATATCACGAGCTTATAATCAACTTATTTTTTTTCAGGAAATTTCCCTCTCAGACACTCCTCAACTTATTACATTAGTGGATAGTCCTGTGACTGGATTTGATAATCAGATATGCGTTGGTTACCGGCATCAGTTCGATTTGGTGAATGAGAAAACAGGCGAAATTCAACGACTTCATGTGATCGAGGGAAATAAAGTAATTTTTGTTTTTAATTTATCAACTACTAAATAATCTCGCCAGAAGAAAGAATGAGGCCTCTCGAGAGAGATATTGCGATAAACATAATTTTGTTCTGTTACTGAAACTCCGCAAAACTTTCAGATCGTCACATCCAATTTAAACCACTCGCTGAGGACTTAATAATGCAATTTTCCCAAATTACGATGATGCTGAATTCAGTCTCGCATAAATTAACCGATGTTGTAACACGTACCGCTAATAACACCGGAGAATATTTTTTTCTGTAGCATGAGATTTTTAGTCGATTTTTGATAATTTCACGTCATTTATTTTAAATATACAATTGGTTACGCTTTAAGCTACAATTTTTTTCAGGGACCTTTTTAGTTCTATTTTTTAAAATATATAGACTTAAAATCGTTATAGTCAATAACGGGGGGTAGCATAAATGCTACGACAAATTTTTAGGGGAGTTGGGGTACATCATCAGGATAAAATTGCATAGGAACCAATGCAAGGGGAAGTCATACGCTCCATATTCTTACGAGTTTCTTCGTGTGCTTCTGAATTGGTCACAATAATGAAGCATCCCTAACCACGTACGACGACATTCCTAGACCTCAGTTCCTATGCAATTTTAATCCTGATGATGTGCCGTAATTCCCAATAGAAGTTTCTCGTAGCAATTATGCGAAATATTGTATCTAACGTTTTAAAATTTTTAACATTTTGAAAAAAAAAATGGAATAAAAATACCATTTAAAAAATACATGCAGTTTTAGGGGAAAACTAATTTTATATTTGAAGTTCCCACACTAGAGTTACAAAAGATCAAGTATTTATACAAATGCAACACAAATTTGTTTCTCAATGTTAACAATCCGTTAATTTGTATGCCAGCGAAATCGGTTAATTTGTATGCCCAACGAAATGAATAAGGTTGTTGCGTATGCCTGTTAAGGCAGAGAGGTGCGATTGGTCTTGTTTTCCAGTGGCGCCATCTATGGCCAAGAATTTGACTTCTGCCACACCCATACGTTTATAGGGAGGACCCTAAAATACATCCACAGATCGTAATTTAGACCTGAATCAGAGAACGATCAATATCCAATTCAGCAGAGGTATTGATTTGTTATGGGAACATGAAGGACTTTTCGAGTCGACAGATTTAACGTGCATCAGTGGCCATTTTACAACGCAGGGAGTCTTCGGCCGGTGGGGTTCGAACCCACGAACTATCAGACATGGGCCCAGTTTCCTACCAACCAGGCTAAATGAATAAGGTTGTGAGTGTCTGTTAAACCAATCAAATATTTTTTCTTCCTGATGAACTCTGTTGTGATCATCTTGAAAATTAGAGGTTTAGGAGCACACTCATGGTGAAGAGATTGGCCAAAAGACAACACCTGATCATCTAAACGTTAAACTGAAAATGACGGTTCATGTTAGTGTTCATCTTAATGAATGGGTCAAGTCCAAACAAAACACCCACAAAACATTACAGATCCATAATATTAAAATAAGCTTTTACTGATTTCTCTTGAGATGTCTAGTTTTAAATAAGAAATTCATTCATTTAAGAATTTTTAGGAATTTTTCATATAAGAATTTTATTTATATGACAGCTTATTAATTTTGTTTTCTCCTTTTTAGGGTAATCTCATTGCAGCTATCGATGTGTATGAAGATGATGAAGCAGAACTGTTACTATGTTATAATCGTAAGTATGACTTTTGGTACTTTTGTTATATTTAAACAAGTCGCTAACTTATATAATGGGTTAGTTCCCCGACTTGGAAATTTTGGAGCTTGCTCTAAGATGTTTTAACGGTACCGTTTGAAAGAGGAGAAAACAAATGTAATCAATTTTAAACTTAATTTTTGGAGATGTTCCACACTTCTTTCTTCGTTATAAATAAATAATTTTGTGGTGAATTAAAATATTTTGAAAATAAACTTACATTTACCAGGGCTGCTCCAACAGTATCTTTTATTGTAGCTTTTTCATCAAAATAAAAATTCCTATGAAATATCCATTTAGAAATTGAGAATTTGATTGGTGCATTTTAAGCGGAACGATCAAATCAAATTCAGTAGGAATATTCCTTCCAGTTCAAAATATCGTGAATTTTGTTTTATTTTATTATTCCTTAAAATTTTAACTTTATTTTATTGTAGTTGTTTTTCTAATAGAATTAAAATTTTGATAAATGAATTATTTTTAAATAAATAATGACTTCTATGGAAAAGTATGAATTGGAGTGTTCGATAAACTGACTAAACGATTGTTTAATTTTTCAACGGAATTATGAGCGAGCTCCAACAGCTNTTTTATTGTAGTTGTTTTTCTAATAGAATTAAAATTTTGATAAATTAATTATTTTTAAATAAATAATGACTTCTATGGAAAAGCATGAATTGGAGTGTTCAATAAACTGACTAAACGATTGTTTAATTTTTCAACGGAATTTTGAGCGAGCTCCAACAGCTCCAAGACATGGCACCGACTCAATAATTAATTAAAAAAATAAAACGAGTGCCGTTGTTTGCCAACTGTATTGGGAAACTGACGATGAAATAAAACATTATTCGAACAAAACATTTGAGGAGCATTTAGAATACAGATTCTATATTACTCGTAAATTAAGTAGAATTAGAAGAATTAATAACTATTAATAATCAATAATTAATAGCAATTAATAATAATTAACAAGAATTATTAATAATATTAATACAATACTTATTAATAATTAACAAGAATTATTAAAGATTAATAAATTTAATAATTAAAAGCTTCGCTGTATAGCAGATTTAATAAAGAAAAACACTTAATTAAAAATGGTTATCAGCTATGAAGATTTTACAGTTATTAGGATAAAGATTGAGAATATAATAATTAGATATATTTTAAAAATAATATTAGTTACGTATTTTTTAAAAAAATACGATTCTTAGACAAGTTATGCACGTTTTTATAACAGTAAATAAAACATTTTTCTTTTACAAGAAATTTATATACATACTTTTAAATTCTAAGAAAATAAATAAAATTAAATACAATATTATATTAACAGTCTCCATAGTATACGTGTATTCTTATAAAATTTTGTGGTATTAAAATGTGTGTGAACTAAGTATTGCCCTAACATTTTACCTGCTGGCTTTATCGACTAGCATTTATATAAAAGAAATAGAACCAATGCGATTGAATATGAAACTAAGTTTTATCGTAGAATCTGCCAGTCCATACTTTTTTCTGCAGATTTCTCAATATTTGTCTTCTTTAGAGTCTATGCTACTTTCTGTTTTCTCATAAAGTCAAGCTCCTTTTTTTGTTAATTTTAACGTATCAAGTTTATTGAAGTTCTTCCTCTGACTGAGGATACCACCCAAGAAAATTTCTATTATTCCCGCTCAACTTAAAAATGTGATTTATTTAAAGCTATGAGCAGTAACTATAAATCTACTTAAACCGAAAATATTTTATAAAAATAATTACGGATATCAAACGAAGTTTATGATTATTTTCCAAAAAGGAAATACCCTTTAGCAGCTTTTATTGGAAATGTTCAATCTTGAAAACTGCTTTCTGTTTAACACTATTTAATTTAAAATGGTATTTTCAATTCAAACATTGAAGACTATTTTATACATATGAAAAGTATCAATTCATTGCAAATCCTTTCAGATATGACGCATTTCCAAAAGCTTTTTGAAGAAGGCACAAGCGAGTTTGATTTTCAATGGAATGCAGTACCAGAAGCTATAGGTAAGATTTATCTACGTTAAAATTCTAATTTAGATTATATACTTATACTATAATTTACATGATTTATTTTTTTAATTAATCTGAAATACAAAAAATTTTTGTATTGTGGATATAAATTTATTAAAATGTAAAAGTAATATAGATAAATAAAAAATTGATATTAATGTGAAATTAAGATAGTCGTAAAAAATATCAATACTTTCAAAATTTTGTTGTAAAAAAGTGGATATACCTAAATACCTTCAAGAAACAATTTTTGTGGACAACAAAAGTAGCATTTAAGAACAAAATTAATGTATTTTTTTCTACATCATATTGCATTTTGAACTATTCTTATGGATTATTTTACAAAATCTTAAATATTGCATACTTAGTAAGCAAAGATTGCATGTTAAGTGCATACATATTAAGCATACATATGCATACATATTACATACATATTAAGTAAACACTGTTTAGAGTAGAAATTAAACCAAATAAACTAGCCACATCCTTATTAAATGAATTAGTAGTTCGTAAAGTTATAGATGAACTCAAAAGAGACTACTTTCTTTTGGTCTCATTGATACATCTAAAAGAATTAAATGCACATTTAATGTCAAACGAGCCAGGCAAGTATAATGAGCGTCAAATTAAAATTAAATAAAATTTACGCTACACTTGAAGTGAAGAAACTTACTATTATACGTTCGGAAGAAAGAATATTTAAATAGTGCAATATTCTTTCTTCTGAACGTACAATAGTAAATTTCTTCACTTCAAGTGTAGCGTAAATTTTATTTAATTTTAATACTTTCAGGAAACAATTATTGTGGACAACAAAAGTAACATTTAAAGACAAAATGTATTTTTCAATACATTATATTGCATTTTGAACTGTTTTTGCAAAAGCAATATGGATCACTTTACGAAATCTTAAATATTGCATACTAATTAAGCAAAGATTGCATATTAAGTGAAACTTTTTAAAATCAAAATTGAACCAAATAAACTAGCCACATCCTTATTAAATGAATTGATAGTTCGAAAAGTCATCGATGAACTGAAAAAATGAGATTACCTGCTTTTAGTCTCATTGATACATTTATAGAATTAAATACACATTTAATGTCAAGCGAACCAGGCAAGTATAATGAGCGTCTAACTAAAATTAAATAAAATTTACGCTGCACTTGAACTGAAGAAACTTACGATTATACGTTCAGAAGAAAGAATATTTAAATAGTGCTGGAAAACCGTGATTAAGGTAAACACAAAAAGAGTAACAGGGGCACCTTCAGGTCATGAATTCGTGTTTGCTAGAAATAAAAACCTGGAGCGGCTATGCTGACGAATATCCGTGGAAAGTTTTGCCCTGCATTGGGTTCAGGTCATCCGGGATAAAAAAAAAAAGTCCCCCAATAGGGAACTTTGCAAACCATGCTTTATTATTTAAACTTGTTTTCTATATTCTCTTCTATCGACTACAAATCATTCTGTTTAAGAATACATCAGAGCATTTCGGAGTATAAAAATAAACTTATTGAAATTCTGTTTACTTAAAGTACAGTCGAACTCGTTTATAACGAGCACAAAGGGACCGTAACATGTACTCGTTAAATCCGAGTGCTCGTAATAAACGGGTCCTTAAGGCAGGCTTGCAACCAGAAGAGGGTTGGGAGGTCAAATTATTGAGTTTGCATAAAATTTAATTAATACTTACCTACTTTAATTAATTTAATTAAATACTTTTCTTAATTTAATGATAACTATCCCCCCCAACCAGCAAAAAATTTCTAGTTGCGCTACAGTCTTAAAGGAAAGAAGCAATAAACGGAAAGAAAAATAAAGGAAAAGATTCTTACCAAAACATTTATTTTTTTCATTAATCTACATATTTAAAATAGTAGTTTGTTAGCTTACTTTGAAGTTTCAGTTAACGGTTTTTTTTTTATTTTGAGCGCATTTCTTATCATTTTAAAAAAAAGATTGCAAGACAGAAAAATATTGCTCGCTAAAACCGGGTCTTGCTCGTTAAAAGCGACTTCTGTTCCATAAACTTAACATTGATCCAACCAAATATTCTCGTTTCCCTCGGTAAATCCGAGTTCTCGTTAAATCCGAGCTCGTTATAAACGAGTTCGACTGTAAAATCAAAATGCTCACACTACTCGGCATTATAAAATAAAATCGAACAATAATCCAATTAGCAAAGAAAACAGCGTTTCTAGCTTGACCACTCGCCAGAGCTAGCTCATTACAACCGAAAACTAGCAGTTTGTTAAGGAGAGCTAGCCTTCCGTAATGCCATGCTTACGTTTTCACTAATCTATCCACTGATTGGTATTAATCAGTAGCTAGCTCAAGTGACCAAAAATTTGAAATAACAAAACTGATAATAGCAGTTTGTTTCAAATGTTTAAGTCTTTAAATGAAATCCGAAACTTGCATGTCTCATTTTACACTTGGTTAATAGTAAAACAAAGGCTTAAAACTTGCAAGGAGCTCATAAAACAGTTTCGAGAAAAAGTGAATCTTGCTTAATTTACTATTAAACTCTGCAAACTGCATAAATTATATTTTACTCCTAATTTGCTGAAATTAATGAGAGATATTTTATCAAAATCTATTTTTAGTGTGTGCCTTTCCATACGTCATGGCGTTTACATCAGATAACATAGAGATTCGTCTAGTGATTAATGGTAACCTAGTACAAAGCATGGTTATGCCGAGCCTCAGGTTGATCACAGCAAAGGTAAGTAATTAGATCTTCAATATGAAAAATGCTTAACTAAAGCGTTACATGAGCAATTTGTAATAAACTAGTGCAATCTGAGAGCTGCGTGAGTTATTTTAATCTTAAAAAATATTATAAAAGAATAATATGAATAAATCTAATTAAAAGAAAATAAGAGTGTTGTACTAGATGTTTTATATTTAAGGAAAAATCTAAAGAATGTTTAACTGCAATTTTTTATTCAATTAGTTTTTAATGATTTCATCTATCAAATTGATCTTGTAGAACAGAGTTCTCTTAAATGGCATTACGGCTTAAATGGCATTCATAAATATTTGATTTACGAAATGTTTCTTGAAAGTGATTCAAAGACTTTTCAGACAAAGATAAGTATGGTGTAATTTAGACTATTATTTTTTTTTACATTTAAATTTGATTTCCGTCATAACAATCGTTGAAATGAAACTATTTTTAATTTATGTATTACAATAAGGCATAATATTATTTCGCACAAAACAATTTTTGAAACGATATTACAATTTATAATATAATATTTCAATGTATTATCAGAACCAATTAAAAAGGAATTTCATCGCACTTCTCTACTGACATTTCTTTAGCTATAAGTCTTGAAAATTTACAAAGTAAAATCTGTAAGAAATTCCAGCAATCATAGAGTATAGATGGATTAGAAGTATTTAGTTTAAGATAGTTTGAACATAACTGAATCAATAAGACATTAGAGATAAAATATGACCGGAGCTAAATTTGCAATTGCTTCCAAATATTTATTTTTCTCTCAAGCCTGAAAACCAATTAGCATTCCCTCCATTGGTATAATAATATTTGTTATTGAACTAAAATACCAACATAAATGGGAATATAAAAGAAGTGTTTTCCATAGTTGAAAGAGAATATCAGATACGGCATTAATAGTATAAATTTCAGTTGTTAAAAATAATTCCTGAATGCAATAATTTTATTTATTTATTTTTAATTCAGAGAAATATTTAACAGTTTATGCAAAATAGAGTCTGGTAGAAATTCTCACCCTCTGATTTATCCTATTTTCTCTTAATACATTTTAAACTATATCTGGGAAATTATCAATTCAAATCAAAATTAGCTTTATTAGAAGTAAATTAAAAATCATATGAAGATGATTGTTTGATAAGACGTCACGTTCTTAAAATTTTTATTAATTTCCATCGGATGTTAATATTTTAGTTCTTAATGTTTTTTCATTATTCTTTTGCATTTTACAGAGTGATATAATATTTGCGACGACAGCACCGGAAAGTTTTCAGGTTCGCAGAGAACGAGTTAAAGTGGATAAGATGGACCGGGATCCCAGTCTTTCCCCTCCACCCTCACCTCATTGTAAGTGGCGCATCTACTTGTACTAGAATTTGTCATTTATTTTAACACATTTTACTCATATATATTTTGTACAATGGCTGCACTTCGATCCGAGATAGCTATGGGGCTATAGTGATAAAGCTCTCTACTTCCAATTGGACAAATCAGGCTGGTCAATTCGCCACATGCTCATCCAATATCGCCAAAGACTGAAGACGGCATGAATTAGAACCTTTATATATATATACAGGGTTATTCATAATTACCTCCCCCTGTAAACGCCATTTTTCTTTGCTACAACTGGCTTCAGTGGTATATGTTACTGCCATCTACCGGCAACTGCTTAGATTAAAACTTGAATACTTTCGGAATAATTCATATGTTCTTTTTTGCCATATTCGTCTTCGTTTTTTTACTATAACGCTTCGAAAACCCGAAGGGAGTTATGAATAACCCTGTATATACGGGAATTTGTATATATACGAGAATTTGAATTCTTCTGTCAAATCAACATAAAACTCACATTTCTAAAAATATTTTGAAAAAAATAGTCTATATTAATTATAAATTGAACATCTTTTGAAAAAAAAAAAGATTAGCAGAAACTTGGATTTTTGCTTTAAAAGATTTTTAGATGACAAGTCAAAAATTTTTTACCTTAGCAGGGATCTGTCCAGACATTTTGTTAAAGGTCCGTTTTTTGTAAAATTGTGAAAAAACTACTCGTAATTTGTGAATATAAAATAAACGTTAAGTCACATTCTTTCGACCAGGGTCCGCTTTTGTGAATTTGTGCAAATAGGGTCCGTTACAGCAAAAAAAAATACTTTTTCAAGGAGTTTCTAAATTGCAAAGACATACAAGATTATGCTCAATGCTGTAAAATTGTAATTAAAAAAATTAAATTTTAAATAAACAGCAAATGCAGCTACTAAATAAGCGATGCAACATACAAATATTTGGTATTTAGCCTATACTGCTGAACGCAGAATATTAATTTCGGACGAATAAAGGAAGAAGCGTCTGCGGAAGACAAAATTTAGTTCGTTTACGTCTGTCTTTCTTCCCCCCCCC